CGTATAAGCTGCTGTAAATGTTGCACTTGAACTATCTGTATTCTTTGAGAATGAACCGTCCATAGGAATCCAATCCATAACTTTAACAGGAAAACATAAAGCCTCGTTTGTATAATGTTCTACAAGTTCTGTATAAATGTTAGGGTCTAAAGAGAATGACTTTGGATGAATGAAACATTCATTAAAATCCATCTTTGTTCGAAATAGTTGCTGGGTTACAGTTGTAATAGTAACTGTTCCACTAGCTTCTACTGCCTTCGTTATCATAGTGAATGGTTCATTCCATGGAACAAATTTATTTGTCGGTGGATTTGAATCTGAAGCAAATGCAACTTTAAGAGTTGGATTGAAAGCAATGATATCATTTACAGATATAGATGTGCATTGTAAGGCGTCGCTACTGAACTTTACTTTAAGCTGAATGTTTCCTGCAAAAGCTGGAATAAATCGAATAGCTTCTAATGGAAGGAATCTTCTAACAGGAATTCTTAAACGAAGCTTAAAATCAAATGATTTTCCTGCTGTAATTGGACCACTAACAATTTGTCCTGTTCTGCATGTTCCCGAATGACTCCATACATCTTCATGTCGAGTCTTTGAGAAAACATCTACTTTCTTTATTTGTTCGGTAGTTTGTGAGTTTGAAGTTATATATGCTTCTTCTCTTGCGTTGTCTTGAGAATATACGATACGACCATTTGCAAGGATTTGATATCCAGCAACTGCATAGAAAGCGTCATCGAAACCAATCCAAAATCCTGGTGGGTTTGTTTTATTGGAACCTGAACCAATTTCTTTATCTACAATAAATTGACCTTCCATTTTATACGTAATGAATGTATTGTAAAGGTCCAACATATTTTCACCAGGAGGTGAGAGATTGAATGTTACCCATGTGTTATCTTTAGCAGTTCCAGGTTGTGATGGAATCTTTGCGTCAGAATATTTTCTATTAGTGTCACCAATTTGAACTGCATTGTCTATGATATCGAAATATGAGCGAATCTGATGAATATGCTCTGCTGGAGTAAATTCGTTTAACTGTTCGTTCTGCATGTATTTACTTCAGATAAAAATATCTATTTACTTCATTATTCTCACTCTTCTTCTTGGCATTCGTGGTGGAAGTTGTTTCTTGACATTTTCAATGAACTGTACATTCTCTTTTGTCTCAACTTCTTTCACTGGCGGGTCATTCTTTGACTCGGTTTGTTTTTCAATGAAATTCACGAACTTTGCAATAAGCTCTTGGTTCGTTATTGAAAGTACATCTGGCTTCTTTTCTTCTGGTTCTATTGACTTTTCAGTTTGAACAGAAGGTTTTATATGGGCTTCGCCCTGCCATGCACCTTAATGTTGTCGCTTTCTGCATTCGCTAATGGAACCTTTCTTTTTCTTACGTATATTTTACCATCTTTACTCTGACTTACGTAATAGAAAGGATGTTGTATTCCTCTTGCGTCATTTAATATAATAGACTCTCGCTCTGATTTTGACAAGCTCATTTTACATCGGTTAAAGTTTTAATTTTGTTTTTTATCTGCAGTCAAATGACTCAGACAAGCCCTACGGACAAGACCCAAGGGGTCATAGATGTTGAAGCATTGAAGAAAGAAATTCGTGAGCAAATTTTATCCGAACTGAAGGAACAAAAACAAGAACAAAAGCCAGAGAGACCAAAGAGAAAACTTAGTGAAAAACAACTTGCTGCATTAGCTGCTGGAAGACAAAAGAACCCAAGACTACTGGCGAAAAAAGCTAGAGAAGAAGCTGAAGCAAAAGCTAAAGAAGCTGAAGCAAAGAAAGAGTAAATGGTTTATTTTTATCCGAATTAAATGTATAGACAAATACCTTTATCTGTTGCGTTCAGTAGTGAAAACCCTGACGTCAAAATAAAGGGGAACAGAGTAACGTTTAAGTTTCCAACAGACTGGATTGTGAACATAAATGAAGAGAAGTACATTGGCATAACATCTATGTATATAACACGTGCTTTCAGAAAGGTTGACTTTATACTTCAAGTCGAGATAGAAAATGACGAACAGTCTTTAAGCGCCCAAAACATTCACATATACAAATACTTTAAAGACGATACAACATTGCAACAATGTATGATTTCATTTAATGAGATGTTCGAGAAAAAGTTCAACATTGAAGTACAAACTTTACAGCCTTTACGTGAGTTTCTTGCACAACTGAAAGAAGAAGGTAGTCGGCCACAACTTATAGACTTTCATTATGAATTTAATGAAAATGAAGATGGAACTCATGACTGTCAGTTTGTTATATATTCACCATTCAATGAAGTAGCTAAAAAGAAAGAAAATCCATTACGTATAAGATTTCAAATCTCTGAACCAAGTGATGATTTCAAAAATGTTTTCAATTATGATGCAATGCTTCCGAGGAAAAATGAATTTTCAAAGATTGTAACACCCGGCATTTGGGATAGAAAGCAAGCTATATTATATTCAAACCTAAGTAAAGGAGTTGAAAATGAGTTCATTGGTCATACAAGAAATTCACCACTTCCTAACCCTAAATACTATAAATTAACTGGCTTCAATCGTGAGTTTTGGATAGACATGTTCTCCACTCATGACCATAACTGCCCAGTGTTCTTACCTCCAGACCATAAGGACTGTCTCTACATTGAAGCACAACTCTTAAACTCTACCATCGCAGTATTGTAAATGACCTCATGGGCTTCGCCCTTGCCGCTAGCGGCTTATTTTTATCACGAATGACCTCATTGCTGACAAAAATAAATGACCTCAGAACTTCAACTTACGAATAAAGCTTGTTTTAGTCGTTATTGAGAAGTTAAACTTTTCAGCAAAGCAAGGACTAGAAGACTTACATAAGTCAAATCCAATCTCTTGACCATCATGAAGTGCTTTGTAAAGTTTCATTAAACTGAACTCAGAGTCTTTGTCATATGTTCCAACAGGTATGTGAATGTTCTTATCTTCATTGTAATAGCATTGTATAGCTTCAGGAAACATTTCATTAGCTGTTAAAGCAAGAACGTCTTGTTTTACACCTTTACAACGTGCATGAAATGCAACTTCATTTAAATTGTTAGTGAGTAAGTCTATGTAGGTCTTCTTTCCACAAAATATTGACTTGTATGCTAAACTTTGTTTTCCAGGTGTTATTTCTGCGAAGTCAGAATGAAATTGACCAAGGTTCTTTCCTATAAGTTCGCGACCGTATCTCTTCTTAAACTCTGCTGCAAGCTTTGGTATGTCTTCATTGAAAATATGCATGCTATCACAGTCCTGGTAAAATATTTGAAGTCCCATATCTTCTGCAGTGCAAAATACTTCATTCATTATTCTCTTCGACATTGACAGAATGTTAACACCAAGTGGACAGAAGTTAAAGTGTCTGCAAATGCTTTTCGTTAGCTTGAAAATAGTTTTATCTGAACCATCCAAACCTTCGAACTTCACTATATGGTTGTAGTTTCTGATGGCATATCTTATAGCATCTTTGTCATTTACTATGGTTATTTTTGACTCAATAGGAGATAGAATAGTTTTGCCATAAATACTGTTCAGAATGAGCTTTATATTTTCTTGCAAAGGATTTCCTTCTTTCTTATACTTTAACCTTAACTCAAACAACTTCTTTACTTCATCTCTTATTCTAATATCTCTGTTTCCATCGTAATAGTATCCTTGCAACACTTCACATTTGACGCCTTGATATTTTATGAGGTCTTGTAATGTTATATGGTCAACATACATTAAACAGCAAGTGTTTGAACTTCTGGGAACGTTAAGTTCTGGATTTAGTTCAGGGTCACAAACTATTAAAGGAAAGTGTCTATGTATTCCAATCTCTGTTATCTTAATGAGAACAAAGAAGCCGGACATAAACTTTTCACCAATGGGTTCCTTTTGGTCGTCATCGAATAAATGTCTCATGAGATACTCTGTGCTTAACATTTCTTTCTTCATAACCTTTGGAATACCTTCTAAAGTATAAAGTCTCGCGATAGCTGAGGGATATAATGAAACAGCGTCGAAGTCAGCAATGAGTTTCTTTTCGCTCTTTTGTTTAATGTTATCTGACAGCATACATCTTCCACCTTGAATACAGCGTGAAATAAATTCTCTTGGTTTATTTGAGAGGTCATAAAGATTTCCATTCGGGAAGTATACTCTGTTCTCAAACAATTTGTTAGCAATAGAACAAATACTAACGTAGTCATAAACGTTTAAATCAAATTCTTTTAATATATCATTGCGGAACTTAACAAAACCTTCTCTTAAAATTCTTACATCTTGTTTGCAATAAAATGTGCTATACTTTTCTAAGTCGAAGTGGTTTTCATCTATTCTGCAACCTTTGATGGAATCTATGTTTTTCATGAACGTATCCACATCCCTGATAAACTTACACGCTTCAGAAATGACACTAGTTCTGTTGTCATTTGCTAATAAAGAGCTTGAATAATATTGATACGGAAATACTTCCTTTTCACCACACTGCAAATGAAACATTTCAGGAAATAGTTTAAGCTTCTTATTTATAACAGTGTATGAATCTTTAATAATGATTGCCCTTCCTTTATATAAGCCAGTTATTTGCATTGTTCGTGAACCTTTAATGATGGGAGTTCCTTTCACTTCTGTCATGTGTCTTAAGATGAAGTTTATATCATAACTGAGGTTATGGAAATATATTAAACTCTTGTCAGGAAGTCGTTCCAAAAATTCTGTTGCACAGTTCTGACCCCAAATGCTTTCACTCACTGAACCATCTTCACTGTCATAACAAATGTTAAAGGCTTTATGAACTCCATCAGTGCTACATTCAAAGTCAGCAAAGAAAACGTGCTCAGGAATGAACTTGCACTTATTTTTATTTACTTCTTTTGACTCGGCTTTTCTTCTTCAGTTGTACACAATACTTTGGAGCATATGTCAAATCTTTAAATGGTGCAAGGTTCTGTTTATATATAGTCAGTCGTATATGTGAAAAGTTCTCCATAAGAAATAGGTTCGAAATATTTGCACTCCCACAATGTTTTCATAACATCCCATAACGGTGTTGTTCTATCATAACGAACTACATATTTGTTCTCTCTCTTTGTATAAATCTTCATCTGTTTCTCAATGTTCATTCCACCACACTCCTTCAAGATTTCTATATAGTTGCGAATGAAATATGTTGTCATTGGTAATCTTTCATTTAGCATGTAGTGGTCTTCAACAAGAAGTAAGTCAATAGTTCGAACAGTTTCACATTCTTTTGGTATGTATCTCTTTATTTCATTATGTCTTGAGTCATTGAAGTAACCAATGGTAACATTAAATGCTATACCTGTTGCGTCAGAAATTTCTTGTACTTTACTTTGAGGAAAGTCTCTAACACGAATGACTTCTCTCATGTGGTCAATAGTTTCTTCATTTACTCCAGCCTGAATGCAAGCATAAACGAAGCAGTTATCTTCTGTCATAAGTGTTGCAGTTCTTTTGTTCAGTTCATTGAAGATTTGGTAGCGTTCAAGATTTATAGGTAATGTGCAAAGATACTTCCAGAACTGACCGCTTCTCTTCTTATAAAACTTCTTTTCACCATTATCTTTCCAAAAGCTTTCTATAAGTGCTGGGTTTCCTGTTTGCTTAAGAGCTTCCAAAATGGCTTTCTGGTCATTTGTCAGTGTGCTTTCATCTCTATATGGTCTCTTTTTTGGTTTGCCTTTCTTTACATCTGACATCGTTAAGCCTTCATATTCTGTTAAATCATACATCTTTATTTCAGTAAGATTCTTTATGTTTGTCAAGAAGAAGTCATAGTGCATTTCAACAATACCTGCAGCATTTGCTTCTATCTCTGATATAAAGTTCTCCTTCAAGAGCTGATGTAGTAATGTTCCAATATTATTGAGGTTTAACGTAGAACATTCATACTTTCCACCAAGTTTATAACATACCATCCATCTTTGTTGGGAGTTTATTTTAATCTTCTCTAAGAGTCTCATGAAAACCTTACCGAAATGTTTGTGTAAGTAGTCTCTGTTTGGTTCATCTAAAGCTTCGATGTTAAAGTCAATGAGTCTATTGCCTGTCTTAACATTCCTCTTCCTATTCTCTTCATCTTTCTTTAACCATCTCTCACCTTCTTTTGGTTTGTCGTCAATGGAACGAAGGACATCGTTAGCTTTGCGAACTTGTTCTATAGCGCTCTTAAACATCTCTCTTCTCTGTTGTTTCAGTGTGTCGTCTCTTCTTCTTGTTTCACCAACGTTTGCATTTGTTATGTCAAACATTTCTCTTCTTACTTCATGAGGTACTGAACGTCTATGATATAAGTCAATAGCAACGTCATTTAAAGGAAATGCTCTTGCATGGACTTCGTCCTCGCCGCGTTGCGGCTTTATGAACTCATGAATTCTATCATAACTTATTGCACCATTATAGTCATTGAGGATGTCAGCGAGTGCTTTTTTGTTTGTTGCGTAATGCTTTGCAACATCTATATTAGCTTCTGTAAGAAGTTGTTTTATTTCCGAGTGTTCTAACTTAGACAACTTCCGATACATCTTTAGTAGGAAATAAAAAAATATTTTTGAAAAAATTAGATTAGATTTTTTTAAGTTATTTTTCAAAATAATTTAATATTTTTATTTTAATGAAACACACATGCAAGATTGCAAGTTCTTTTCATACAATGCTCTCGCTACTGTCATCAAGAATGAGTTCAATAATGCTTCAAATGTTAATGTTATCTTTAACAAGAAGTTTGTGAAAGAATCTAAGTTTGGTCAGTATGTCAGACCATTAGCTATCGTCATTGACCGCAAACGTTATACTTCACAAGAGTTAGCAGTAGTTTTGAAACAAAAGGGTTTCTTCGTGAATGTCAAAGATACTCATTATACTGTTATAAAGAACTCCAACATTGACTTCTTCAGTATTGCTTTAAATCTTTCCGAACAGAAAGAATATAAGAAGGGTGAAACAAATGTGAAATATTATCCTTCATCTCTGAAGACAATAACGAACAAAGATGTTATACAGAAATTCTTACCAAAGGTTGAAGAAGCTTCTATTGACATTGACGAAGGAAGTGAAATGGTTGAAGAAATAGACCCTGAAGCTTTATAAGAAAATTTATTTTTGAATAACTGATGGTGTCACTACGTCACCATGTGTCACCAGGTTAATTAACCTCTTTTAAAAATGATGACAACATGACATTTTGACAACAGTCCTGGAAACAAATGTTTACGTTAATGTTTTCACGAATGTTTTCAGTTGTGATGGAATATATCTAACCCTCCCGTTAACTAATAAACTTGACGATCAGACGATTCTCTCTTCGTCGATTATGATCGACGTGGAGCGTTTATGGAAACAATTAAATGGTAAAAACAAAATAAACTTGACGATCAGACGATTCTCTCTTCGTCGATTATGATCGACATGGAGCATTTATGGAAACAATTAAATGGTAAAAACAAAATAAACTTGACGATCAGACGATTCTCTCTTCGTCGATTATGATCGACATGGAGCGTTTATGGAAACAATTAAATGGTAAAAACAAAATAAACTTGACGGAGTGTTTTGTTTTTATCATGGTTTTCTCCACTATGGTCCTAACGTGGCACCCGACGAGATTTTTTTTCATTCTTCCTCTTTGAAGTTGTCGAAATATTCTGTTATTTTTTCCTTCAGTAATGTTAAGTCTTCTTTGAATGTAAGTATTGTGCAACCTTTGATGTCATAGTGTGTTTGAGGAAGAGTATTTTTGACAATTTCCTTTATTTGTTCATTCGGAGTCATTGAAATCGGTAAGTTTTCACGATAGAACCAGTTTCTGTCAGATTTATATATCTTAGCTAAGTCATAAAAGCTCTTGTTGTTTCTTCTGACTAAATGCAACATAACCTAATCTTTATCTTCTTCTTTCTCCAACTCTTCAGTATATATCATATACTTATAACTCTTTTCCTTTCCTTTTGGTACTGAACGTGGTATTCTTTTCTGTATGCTTTTGTCTTTGGATTCAATGACTTCATCTTTTGCTTGAAGTTTCTTTTCCATCTCTCCACGTTCTGCTTTATATAGTTCATCTAACATCATTAAAATATAACAAGCATAACGAGGTGAAGCCCACATTGCTACAGCGTTTACTAAAAGTCTATGAACATAATAACCTTTCAAACCAGGAGCCAAATTCTTGCGATTTTCGTACGGAATCTCTTCTCTCGGTTTTCCGAGGGAAGCAATCATATGAGGAAATTCTTCTAAAAGTTCTTTTGTCTGTTGGTTTTCAAACCAATGATATGCTTGCTTTGTAGAACAAAGAGCATTCATTATACTTTGCATTTGTACATATCGTCTTTGACTGAACGAATGAGACGTAACTGTTTGTTATACTGTATGTATTCATATTCTTCATTTATGACTTCATGAACGATAGCAGTTGTTGTGTTCTCTGATGTTGACATTACTGTCTTTACATACAAGATAAAAATTTTTGTTAGAAAAAATTAGCGTTATTTTCTGACTTTCACAAAAGACCAAAAATAAACGCTTTACATGTATTTTTCAGCAACTTCGTCAAATAATTTTATAGCTTTATCTATCTCATCTACTTCAAACGTTTCTTTACCTTTTATGGGAGCACCATACATTTTCTCAAAAACTTCAAGCAGTTCTGTTTCAGCAGCTCTCATATCATTAACGAACACAACCTTGACTCTATTGACTGTAGAGTCATATCTTTGAGTTATATTATATGTTCTTCCTATCTTATATCTCTTTGTATTGAAGTCCTTCGGTTTCTGAACGATATAAAGTAAGCCTTCACTGCAACGTTCTGAGTCGAATGAACCATAAGTTATGAAGTTATATCCAACAACTGGGTCTAACCATAACAAAACTATTGGTATAAGACTTTTGTCTATAAGATATGCTCTTGTTCCATGAAATGCTATTGATATCATAAGCTCAGGATTTCTTGTCAAAATTTTCTGAGTAGAAGCAATTCTAACCCAGTCCTTTGTTTTCTTTCCAGATGTTGTTATAATGTCTGACAAAGAATATTTGTTGTATTTCTTACAGTATCTTACGTTTAAATCACCAATTCTAACCACTTTGGTGTCATTGTCTATCTTTCTAACTGTTTCAAACTCAATGTTTGTCATTACTGTCTTTACATACAAAATAAAAAATAAATAAAAATAAAACTAACTTTATTTTTATCTTTTATGAAAATTCATGAAATTTGGTCATTTTTCAGCAAAAATAATGTTTAGGTGAAGAGGTGAGATCTCACCTCTTTTTTCACCTGTTTTTTCACAAGCGTTTTACATGAATTGTACGATGTATATTTGAAATTCTAAACAATTTCGTAGCTTCTATTTCTTCTTTTAGTACATTGAATGTTTTAATCATGCCGAAAGTCTCTTTATATTTCTTCTTGACGTCAGACAGAAGGAAATCTTCTGCTGTTGGATAGTTTTTATTAAGAAATATCAACATATCCATTTTATCTTCTGCTGGCTTTTCTGCTTCTTTCTTTAAGTCTGCATAGTCGTTTCGCATTCTTTCTATCTCTTTGACTGAGTAGTTATATTTTCTTATTGCTGCTTTACATTTTGAACATTGCGGATTCATTTTTGCGTTATACACCGAAATAAAACCAGCTAGAACAACTAATGCGTCAATTGCTCTCTTTAACTCAAAAGCTGCTGGTTTTATCAGTTCGTTCCATACGTTGCCTCTTCTATCTTCATCTCTTATCTGCCATACACATTTTGCAACTAATGTAACAAAGTTATCGTATGTCTTAAACTCCCAAGATTTATATATGTCAGAAATATTTTTATAAACCATGTCGCAATCTTTGTCCATAACTTTATGGTTGCAATGAAAACCAAGGAATTCATAATTTACCTTTCGTATGAATTTCTTAATTTCTACTGAGTCAGTTGGTTTCACTTCTATTTCGTCGAATTCAGGAATAGTTAGCTTTTGTTGTTGGATTTCAGGCAATTTAGGCAAATGGTCGATGAGGTCCTGCATTTCATAAAGATACTGTTCATTTGTTTCATCTTTCGCACTACAGTCTAAATTACTTGTTAAAAGTTCTTGCTTTATCTTCTGGATTTTTGTTTCAAAAGTATATGAAGAAGGAATAAAGCTTTTCATCTCTACCAACATTGACGTAGGATTCATGACTAACGAGTTTGGTGCTGTAGTTGTGCCGATTGTTGTTGTACCGATTGTTGAAATCATATCTTTTATACAAAATAAAAAATAAATAAAAATAAAACTAACTTTATTTTTGGACTGCATCAAATTTCCTGGACTGTTGTCAAAATGTCATGTTGTCAGTAATTTTAAGAGAAGTTAATTAACCCGGTGACACATGGTGACGTGGTGACACTGAAACCATTAACGATAAAATATATTTTTGGTCGTTTATGACAAAAATAATGAGTTCATTTACTCACAATATTTTTGTACAAAACGACCCCAAACTTTTAACTTCTTTTCTGCAGTTTCTAATGCTATCTTAGCGAGTTCAGATTCTCTAAATTCTCTCTTTAAATCTTCTTGTTCCCATTGGTCTAGTTCGTATGGAGAATCTCTATAACCATAACATATCTCACGTTCATGTTCTAATTGTTTTTCATGCATTTTTCTAACTTCTTCTTCAAACAAATGTTTTGCATTCTCTACTGTATCTTCGAGTTCTTCTTCATCTAACTTCTCATGAACTTTCTTGTCTATGGAGTCCATAATTTTTCCAACTGCTATGCAATATTTTGGAGAAGCCACACATTGCTATATAGTTTATAAGTCTTGGGTCTACATACGTTCCTTTAACCTGTTTGATTTCATCAGGAATTCCTGCATGAATTTTGTATAAAAAGCAACCGCCGGAATTCGGACTGTTGCTATATTCTTCACAAAATGCCTTATAAATACTCTTCCCAGGACTTATTTTCCAACAACTTTCTAAAGTCTTTCCTAAACTGCTGACACATCTTTGTTGCATTAATGTAACCATCCTTGTCTCTACGTAAGACTTCAATACCATTATAAGTGCCTTTTGTGAATGTTTCGCCATTAGATTTGTTCGTGAATGTTTTTGCTTCGACTGACATTTCTGTTCTTTTATACAAAATAAAACTAACTTTATTTTTTCTATCTTAAGGAAATTCATGAAAATTCACGAGACCCAAAGGGTCTGAGCCGCTAAGCGGCGAGGGTGAAAAAAGAGGTGAGATCTCACCTCTTCACCTAAAAATTATTTTGGTGAAAAATGACCAAATTTCATGAATTTTCTTATTCTTTCTGGCATATTTTTGTCTTTCCAGTACTCCCGCTCTAATGGTCCCAGATGTGTTGGCTTTGACTCTCTCAAGTTCGTAGATGGTATAACATCTTCAACGCCTCCTTCATATCTTACTTTATAAGTGTCATCGTTTATGTTATAGCCAAGTATTTCAATAACCACTCCTCGCTTTGCTTCGTCAATGGTTTCAGCAAGTTTGCCATTACTACTTTCGACTAATTTATGACGAGGGTAAAACGCAATAGAGTCGTCAGCAGCTTTTATAAGATATCCATTACCTTGCGTAGAGTCTACGATATAATAATTTCGACTTAACCTTAAACGTTTCTTTGTCAACGGTTTGTCGTCAAGAACTACACGAACTTTTGTACCAGGAATGAGGGTAAATTGTGTTGAATTTCTGATATTTTGTGTTTGGCTTCGTTTCTTTTGTATATACTTTTCTTCTTGTTGTTGTGTCATTGAATTTGGTGTATGTCCTGTTGTAGAATGTGTTGAGGAATTATATACTTCGAGAAAATGTTTCATTGTTTCTTCAGTAAAGTCTCGCTCTTGGTTTAAATCTCTGAGAGTCCTTATGAAGCGGTTTATGATGCCGAGTATGTTATGGTTATGGTCTTCAGTAGTGTAGTGAGTTATGTTATGCTTAATGAGAAAATCTGTGATTTCATTGCTGAGGTATGCACTGTCTTGGTCTGATGTTAAAGTACTTGGGCTATGTTCTGCTACAAACTTTTGTAAAACTCTTAACACTTCACGAGTTCCTTTATTCCTCATTGGATATGCATATGCTTTGCGAGTGTTAACATTAATGAAGATGAGGAATGGTTTATGTCCTCCTTTTCTGCTTTGAATGAGAGTGTCAAATTGGTATGCGTCAGGAGCGTTGGAGTAAATTGGTAAAAAGTAGTCGTAAGAGTTTATTTTTGTTTGATGTACAACATTTTTGTCAAAGAACCTTTTCACTTCAGCTCTGTTAGTAAATCCCCAACTCTTTGCTGCTTCATTGAACTTCTTAAATGACCTCCATGGATGTTGTTCGAATACTTCTTTCAAGCTCATTTATGTAAAGTTAAAGATTTTATTCAAGACGGTAAGCCTTGACCCAAAGGGTCTAGGCTCAAGCGCGTTCAATGAACGCGGTACCATGCGAATACAGTCACAAATGGTGGCATGTAATCTTTACCCAAGCCTGTTGGATTTGTTGTGAAAGTATGGACATGATTTCCTCCTGGTTCAGTTGGTCGAAAAGTCTTTTTTGCTGAATTGTTATAAGATGGAGATAAAACGTCATTGCCGGCTTCATAGTCTGAGTTGTATAATGGGTGGTCTCTTAATGAGTGGCTATGGTCGCCAGAAAAGTTTGTCGTTCCTGTATGAGTGTGCGGTGGAAGGTTTGCTTCTTTAATTTTCTTTGAACCACCGGCTTGTTTTGAACTATTAGTACAATATAAGAATTTGTCTACAATCTGCTTCCATGTACCAAAACCCAGAACTGTTGCTGGATTTGTTGAATTCATTGATGTATATAAAGAACCAACAGGATATATGGTTTCAAGAATCTGAGTCTTCATTGTTAGAAGTTCTTCATGTGTATGGTTCTTGTCGGCTTTACTATTTAACATTGTTGGTAGTTCATATGCTTCAAAGTTTCTGGCATGATCTTCGATATTCCTGCAATAGTTATCTAAATTGTTAAGAGTATCTTTTACGCTTGTACTCGGATTCTCTGAAGGTGCACTTGAACCGAGGGTATAGTTCAATATTATGTCGTCTGCTCTAACAGTAGTGAAGGATTTATGTGTATGGTTCTTGTCGGCTTTACTATTTAATGTAGCTTGAAGTTCATTTATATCGGAGATATTGTGTTTATGAGATTTCAAAACTTTGTTCGTTGCGTCAAGTTCATCTTTGTCAGCTTTACTTTTAATAGCATCTTCAAAAGTTATTTTTGCCTTAACTCTCAAAGTAAATCTTAGTTCAACTAATATACCGTTAACAAAGAAGTATGAAGCATAAATTTCATTGTTATAACCAAATGCTTCTGGCGCTTTACCTGTGTCATACTGTACAGTACAGCGTATGTCATAACCTTTAGCACGAATGTATTTATATCTTCTTTCATTAACATCTTCAGTGCTTATTTGTTCATCCTGTGTTAAATATCCATGGTAGTCCGTTATAATCTGTTCGTCTGAACTTATATAATGAACATGGTTTTTATCTGCTTTTTCGGCTAATTTCTCTTCTATCTCATTTATTTCAAGTTCATGCCTACCACTACCTCCCGAAGAAGTATTTTTCTTCAGCTCTTGAAGAACGTCCACTTCGCCATCTTTGGTGTCAATAATGAGACTTTGAGTTAAAACCTTTCCTGTCTTAATGGATGTTTGTAAAACTTCTTCTTCACCGTGTTCGGGGTCATGGTCGTCATCATATCTTGTGAAATCAGAGATGTTGTCATACATTAAGCATATCTGTCTCAAAAGTTCTGCTATTTGAAACTGGAACGAAAGATATACAGAACTTTCATCATCTCCTAAAGTCAAGTCTGCTTTCTTAAGTATTTCTTGAATGTATGCAATAAGAACAGAGTATCTTGGAAAATATTAGAACAATATTTCATTAGCTGTTGGTTTTGGTGGTTCTTCTGGAGTTTCTGTTGTTTCAGTTCCTTCTGTAGGTTCTGTTGGAGTTTCTGCATCTCTTGACTTCAATGCTCTTGCTCTCAAAGACCTAAATGTTAGAGCACCAGGTTTTACAAAGGACTTTATAAATGCTTTAATAGTTCCTGGTAAGTTATTGTTAGCATTAAGTAAGTTCCTTATGCTTCCATCATGTACGTCCATAGCACTATGTAAAAAATATATACTTTTCTTGTAGTCAGCAATAGACTGACTGTGATTTTTTAAAGATTTGTCAATACCTTTAAGCCAATCTTCATGCATGTCTGATACTGAGCCAAGAATATCATTTGCTTCCTTTAGTGTATTTTGTGCTTCTCGTAAAGTATCCAATCCCGTACGTGCATTGTTTGCTATACGTCTTACAGTATCTATTTGACTCCTTGTTTCTTGCATCCAACCAGATAAAGTTTTAATAGTATCCGAACCATTTGAAATGAAGTTCAAAGCATTTTTAACGTCATCTAAAGCTTCTTCACCAAGTATCGCCCATATCTTTCCGATTTGGTATTGAAGAACTCCATATGAAGCAGCTGTTAAACCAGTATTTATAAGGTTCCATATCCATGATTTAGCAGTTTTTCCATCCTTTCCATCTTCACCATCCAAACCGTTTTCGCCTTGAGGTCCTTGTATTCCTTGTATTCCTTGTATTCCTTGTGGTCCTTGTATTCATTGAGGTCCGGTATCACCCTTCTCTCCTTTCAGTTCATCTTTATGTTCGTTATAATATTCTAATGTCATAAGGTGTACATCATTACTGCTACCAGCAACGCCGAGAATTTGTTTCTCATTCATGACTAAATTCTTTAAGCATTTAATGTTGTCGTCAAATCGAAAGCTCTTTAACAATTCAATGGGAACATTCAGTACTTTCACTAATGAGGCATCTACTGTTGAATTTATATATTGCACCATTCCATCATTTATGATAGGAACCTTGCTTGTTGTAATGAATGGGTCATACGTGTTAAAAGTATCGAAATCAATGACTTTTTTAGTTTTTCCATCGTCAATGACTAAATCATTGCCTTCCACTGTTAAAGTTGAGTTTTCATTTACTAGTTCATGTGCTCTTCTTGCTTCATTTGTTTCATACGCATATGCAGCAATAGTCATATTTTAATGAGAATAAAATGTTGTTTTATTTACAAAGTACAGACCCGAATGAATACGGAATAGTAAAGCTACAAACAAACTTAGGTCTTCAGAATGAAGCACTTGCTTTCAGAGTTGTTGACTTCAATACTATCGCAACTTTTGTCATAACAGATGAAACAGATTTCATAGAGATTGAAATAGATGACAAAAGAAGTGTTATAACATTTCCTAACAGAGCTGGGTATAGAATAGATAAAATTGCTGGAGTCATAGATACTCTCATAAATGAAGAAACTATTGACAACATAGATGTCGAACTCTCTTCTGAGGGAACATTGAAGTTCAGTTATGCGAAGGAGTTTAAGATACCAAGAATGAGTCATAGAGTTCAATTGCTTCTGGGAGCATACCATATGACATTTCCTTTGAAAAGTGTTGACAAAACGATTGAGATGAAATCTGTTCCATATGTATGTTATGGTAATTGTTTATACATTGAGTCTAAAATAGCTAATGTCACAGGTATTTCAGGAGTTAATAGTAAAGGTTCAGTAGAATATAAGTCTTTCTGTTATGAAGTAAATTCAATGTTCATTCCAAACGTTCCTGTCATAGCAACTCATTTAGGTAAATGGGTTCGCATTAGTCCTCATAATTTGAAAGACATGCAATTCAGACATGTTGACTTTCAAGGATAGCCTGTAGAACTGAAGGCACCAGTGCGAATGACTGTTGAAGTTGACTTTTTAGAAAATATTAAATGCAACAGCTTACAAGAGAACTCAGAGCTAAAAATATAAAGTATGAATGTTATGTATTAGGTCATGAACTTTGGTTGTTGCTGTTTGATGAAACAAATGAGTTAGTTATGTCAGTCAAGAGAACAGAAAAATATTGTGTTAGTGAAAACTGCACCAAGTCAATAAGATTAGGTTTGCATTATGAAGATGAGTTCGATACTGTTGAAGAAGTTTTGGATAGATATTACAAATTGCTAACTTGAAATTTTTTGACTGACGGCGCAAAGCGCCAAGACCGAAGGTCCTGACTGCTTTAATTTACTAAAACATATTTCAAGCAAAGTTTATATTCTGTTGAAAGTTTTGTCTATTCATTCGAATATTTATACTTAAACTCAACTCCTGTAGTTCCTGGTGTTTCAATGATGCGGATGTTACCTATTTTCATGAATAGTGGAGTTTGACCACAGCATTCGATTTCAGGGTCGAGATAGTCAATGACACATTGTTTCCCTGTTATTCGTGAGATAACATTTTCAAGGTCCTCCTTTGTTAGAATTATTTGGTTCTTGCTTATAAGATTTGTCAAAAGCTTCTTATCGTCTTTGAGTAAAATTGTTTGGTATAACTGAAGAAGGTAATGGTCTACGTTATCTGAAGGATTTGTTTGAACATTTGTGTAAGGGTTGTCGTTGGCTTCTCTTGAAAGAATTTGGTCCAGTGGTGGATACTCTAACTTAACATCTGATGTAGCGTTAGCGTTTGAAGCTGTGTTTTAAATTCACCGACTTAAGTTCTGGTTCTTTTTCTTTCAAACACTCCGAACTATAGTTCTTTATGACAATATTGTTTGTCGTTCGTGAGTCAACATTTGATGTTGGTTCAATTGGAACATTAACGGCACCAGCTAAGATGGATTTGCTTCTCATTTCATATAGAATAAAAACCTTTTATATGTATGAAATGAACAATATACTCGACAAGGGTTTGAATGTAAAGCTAACGAATGAAAATATTGTTGAATTCACTGAGACAGGTGCTGTGTATAAAGATGTAGAACTACTGAACAAAAGAGCTAAGGGAAGAAGCAGGAACATGAACAAAGGGTGGAAGCCTATAAAAATTTATGTCAATGATGGCTCAGGAGGTTCAAACATAAAGTATGCAGAAAGTTATAGAGTTTATGCTCTCAAAGGTGAAAAGCCTTCATTTAAGAACAGCTATTCTAACGCATATCCTCAAAAGCTAACGGATGAGGAAGTGGATGATATGAATGACAGCAAAAATATTAACAGAAATGGCGACAGAGATGCATGGAATTTGTTTACCATCAGTCAATTGAAGGTTAAACTTTAAAACAATGTTGGTCGTTCCCATGGAATATTTTTGACTTTAATGGTATTAGTCATGATATGAATCTCAAGGTATGAACGAGGAGAGATGAGAGACTTATATGCTTCCCAAATTTCTTCAAAAGGTAATGTTATACCTGACTGTTTCCAAATGAGTTCAATATCATAACGTGAGAAACCTTGAAAGATAACGAAGTCAGTTATGAGACGTTTTATGTTTAAAGCTAAAAACCTCCATGTTTGCATAAGTATTGCTACAGTTAAGTGGTAATGTCTGACTTTAGTAATGATGTTAGCTAATGGTGAGTCTGGTTTTGACACTAAACCTTTACCAGAGAAATCATCACAAACGAGCAGAGTGTTTGATGGATATTTTTTGAAGGGGTATTTTGAAAGTTTTGACAGAATGTAGTTTGTAAGTCGTTTCATATCGTAAACTCCTGAGTATTGACGTAAGTGGTGTTTGTCAATAATTCTTTCCATCTCCTCAGAAGTCTTTTGCATTCCTGACTGTATAAATTCAACGATGGCATAATATTTCCTCTTACGTCGAATGTAACTTTGAAGAAATTCAATGAGTTCACTGTCTGGAACTTTAACGACAGAGGCTTGAACTTTTGACATAAATGTTTTCGCTGTTGAGTCCATAGAGTCTGAAGTTGCTGATATAATGATTTGGTCATAATATGAGTCATTTCCTAAACGTTCTGTTATAAGAATATGACGAATGAGGTTAAATGTCTTTCCTGACCCCATCTTTCCACAATAGAAATAAACGCCATTTGAACAGAACTCATAGTCCTTACTGAAAGGAAGAATGAGAGAACTGTTGAGCTTTTCACTGCTTTCATTCATGTCTTCATCTACGTCATGTATTAAATGCTTCATTTTATCTCCATTAAAAATGCAAGTCAGAAATATTCAGAACATAGCACCGAGTCTAACTGACAAGAGTATAAAGATATACTATGAACATGTTATGATGAAACCAACCAAAATTCAAGAAAGTCAGTATACTTATGAATATCCAAGACACTGGGTAGAGTATGTAGGAGGTGAGAAAGCTATTGAAATCAGACAGGTTCGAAGTATTCCAGCAGGAAGAACAATATTATTGAAGAACTTTAATGTTTTGAGGTATAATGATGAAACAAAGAAGCAAGATAGTTTTCCTGTTGCTGTGTATGTGAACTTAGATACAGGAGATGACATGAAAGTTTTTAATACAAAGCTTCAAACGGTAGTGAGAGAACAACTGACTGCGGAAGGACATCCATTACCTTCAGAAGTTACCATAGCATATAATTTTGAAACAAACACAATAGATTTTAAAGTCATCTCTGCAAAGAAGTCAGGTTTTACATTTAATGAAGCAGATGTATATTCGAATGAAAACTTCAAAGTTATTGCATGGTTAGATAATGACGATTGCTTTAAGAAAATATTTAAATACAGTGACTCAACGATGTCAATAGATGACCTTCGTGGAATGTTACCATCGACGTTTACAGTAGAAGGTTCAGCAGGATTGCTTACAAGATTGTCAATTGGTGGTATTTGGTCTCGTGAGAACATTGTTATAAAATCCAGTATAAGTGAATTTGCTGAAGAATCTATATTATGTCTTTCAAACTACATGTATTCGCCGCCGAAGCATTATAGTATAACAAACTTTGTCAGTAAGTTTAACATAAGACTTGTCGAACCTTCTTAAGTATGCATTTATGTAGATAAGGCAATTTTCTTCATCGCTCCAGAAATAATTTTTGTTCTTTGTTGAAATAGTTTTCGTTCCTCTGCGACCATAAGGAATGTATGCAATGAACTTTGCGTCATATGGGATTGTAATATATTCAGGGTTTCTTTCATCGTCAATGGGTCTGTCTTTGTTAAAATGCATGTTTCTCAGTTTTACTTGAGTTTTGAATAGTTCACGGAAACGTTCTGGGAAAGAGTCATAGTAAATGTAGTCGGACATGTCTTTGTAATGAAATAAAAAATTTAAAATAAATAAAATAAGGTTATTTTTATTTAGTGAGGACGGTAGTGAAGTCGTTAGTGAAGTCGTTAGTGAAGTCATTAGTGAAGTCGTTAGTGAAGTCGTTTATGTGTCAGATGGTTTTGTAAATATTTAAGGTTAAGTTGGTGTTATGGTTGTGTTGTAAAATATACGTTACTGGTTTCGTAAAGTGTCAAAACCGCTAAGTGGTGTACGGAGGCGCGCAGTGCCAAAGTACGCAACTTAGTCTTACTAACTGGGTTCATATGTATCCCATTTATCTTTAATTTCGGCATTAAGGGATTCAATAAGAGATGTTGTGAGTATGCCAGTGGTGTAGTCAGCGAATCCTTCAAATGGGTTAATACTATCTAAGTACTTAAAGAGATCCTGATTATTTTTGCGGTTTGGATATTCCTCTTGTAAACGAGTTTCTAACTTTTTAATCAAGTCAATTCGTTTTTGAGGATGGTCTGTGTAAGCGACTTCAACAATTTCGGAATAGACATTGATGTATTCCCTTTTTGTTGCAAAATGACGTAAGCAAAATTTATGATCGCAAGAAAAGCCTGATTCTCTAACAGCAGCTATAATTGCCGGACCTTGATCGGAATAAATATTCTTGAATCTGCTTGGTGGAATAAAAGATTTCAATTTAGTGAGCATATCCTTAATTGTTATCGTATTTTCACTAACAGACCATGCAAATGCAATAGGGATAAGTCTATTATTTGGTGCAGGTGTACCAATAATGAGTAAGTTTCCTTTTTTAATACAAAATAAAAACGTTCCATCAATTTGAATTATTCCGCAAAAAGCTTGTGTTTGCATGTAAAAATGAGTTATTGGAGGAATTACAATAAATGAATAAATTTGAAAGTCTTTTGAATTTTCAGGTAATTCATCACCTTTCTTAAATGTATGCAATTCAATTTCATTGTTAACTTCTTTAACTAAAATCATTTCGCAGAATCCTTGTTCGATTTTGTTTATGATTGAAAAAATTGTTGAGAAATAATTGTAAGATTGAATTCTATCCCCTTTGTGGTTCCTTTAAGTTTATTTACTATATTATGGAACATCGTATAAGTTGCATTGGGAATATTCAATTCTTTTGCAAAAATTTCTTTGCATTGAGGAACATTATCAGAATTTGCTAATTCATAGACTTTTTTTCCTGCTTGCAACTTAAGAATTTTTGGTATATTGTTACTCGGCTTGCATTGCTTTGCTCTATGCTCGTGTTTAATTACTGGAATGAAGAAAAGTTGACCATTTTCATGAGTCTTTACAAGCTCCATGCAAAATTGGCAGTTAGGACAACGAAACTTTTTTCCTTGCTCAAAATTTAATGGATAAAAAGAATTATATGAATCTTTTGCAATAAATATAGCAGCTTCTGTAGGATCTGTAAATTTTAATTTGCTATATCTTTCCTTGAGAATTGGAATTGGGGAATTTTCAGGTATTTCCATTCTATATTTCAATTTTTTACGGAATTCAATTCATTTTGAATTAAATCCAGCATATCAGCTCCATCTCCTTTTTCTTCATCAACAATAGCTTGGATGGATACTGATATAGTTTGATTCTCTTCCACTATTGTCGGTTCGCTTTCCGACATGAGATAAAATTGAAGGTTTAACGTACTTTTGATACTCTGAGTTAAAAAAAGATTTTCTTAACATAATTTGATTTATTGGTCCTTAAAAAATTCTGATTCAAAATTGAATTGAATCGAACGAGTTTTCCTTTTGAGTCATTTCAAATATTCATGAGAAAGAAAAAAATTCTAGCAATTTCAAATATTTTTGATTTGATTGAATTCAAAAGTGTCACAAATATTCAATGAGAAAGAGAAAAGAGATCGAATATGTTGTTTCTGAGCGAATAGTCAAGCAATATTTCGTTAAGTACAAAGATCAGCATCCGGAAAAAAATAAATGGGTATATCAAAATGAGATTCCGCAAGAAATATTTGAAAAATATCTAGAAACGAAGAAAACAGAAAATATTGATGAAATGTTACGCTGTACTCGAATTGTTCATGTTGTTGATCAAGATAAAAAAGAATTTTATCTTGAATTTTCAAAAAAAAATCAAATTCATCACATATTAAACAAGAATCTAGATGAAGAACATCAAAAGGCTTATATAGATTATCTTGAAAGTTTACTCAAACTTGAAATAAAAAATAAAAATTAAATTAAATTAACCCTCGTTAGGATATCGTTGCAAATAAAGATCTGTTTCTCAGAAAGATCCTGATTTTCTGATAAATATTCTGTTGTAACTTCTACAAGGTTTAAGATATGAAAAACATTTTTGAATATTTCATCGCTATCAAATCTGCGGAAACATCTGGAATATAATTTCAAATATTTGTGAAGATTTGAATTCTCAATTGCATAATTAATTAAAAATTCATGTGAATTTAAAAAATCGGTAGATTAAATTTGCATGGGTATAAGAGGAAGTACACAATAATACCCCTGAACTACATACTCTGTAAATGAATAGTGAGGAGAAAGACTTCGCAGAATTTCAAGTGTTTTTATGAATTCTAAAGCCATCTCAGATGTTATATCGACTGCTTTATAAAATAAAACTATAAATTTGAGAAGATAAACAAAATCTTCGTTATTTATAATTGAATTCACGTCATTAAAAAAGTTGAAATAATTTGATATTAGTATATCCGAACATGGAAGAGCAGTTGCATATCCTGGGTAATATTTTAATAATTTTGTAAAGAAATTTGCAATTGCATAAGTTGAATATTGATTTTCGTACTCAATAATACTAGAAAAAATTTCTTTCTTGAGTAAAACTGCGTTTTGGAAGAATTCAACGTCAAGAATATTGTTTTTAATCAAAGCAATAAATGTATCGATGATATAGAGAGAATTGTCACTGCTGCTTATGAAACGTAATATCTCATCATATTGATCGGAAAATGTTGATAAATAAAGGTATTGTATGTTATCTAAAGCTTTAAAATGAATTAATTTTAATGAAAAAATGAAAAAAATCTGGTTAATATAATGCGATAAATATTCGAATAAATTTTCCAGTAGTATCAAATCTATTTGAAAGATATTCGAAGAAGTGATATTTTGAATTGTGAATTTTAATATTGTTTCATTTTGTGTAGATTGCTCGATAATGAAATGTATCAAAAGATTCATTGAATATGAGTCAATGGAAAAGCTTAAATCCTTAGGGATATCCAAAATAAATCTTAATAAAGAAGATTCGTCTTGAAAATTAGCTTCCGAAAGTTCTATTTCAGTCGGAGCTGGAAGATTCCGATCATTTATGAATCTCGAAACGACAGAAAATTTGTATTGTTTATATTTCATTATTCGAAATGATAAACTTCAAAATCTAAAATTTATTTTTTTACAATATATTTCATCCTATTGTCAAGGCTAAATTTTTCACCGGAAGTGTATCAAAAATTGATAAGATTTACGGTGATCTAATTATGACAATTCAATGCATCTCGTGATATAACGCAGATATAAACACAACTGATATTGCATAACTAATAATTGAGTCAAATAACTAAATTATGTGTTATATTTTACACATATTTCTTCAATTTTGTAATAAATGGATGTTTAACACTAATTTTTTAAGGACTTCGACTTTAGCATCACATAAATATGTTATTTTCTATATTAAAACGTAATTTTGGTGGTCTTAGAATAGAAAAATATGCAATATTTGTGGAGATAATGAGGGTTCTTAAACATGTTCTTAAAAATAAATAAAATAATACAAATCTTTATTCAATCTTTTGATATTGCTGGTCCTCTCTTTGTGAAAATACTTAACTTCAAAGAGTATTATGTTTTACCTAGTGAGGACCTTAAGTTTGCAAAAACATAATAAAAGTAAAATAAAAAAGATCGGATTTATCACAAAACTTTGAGTATCATAGGATTTAATATATTTTCTTAGTAGATTATATGATTTAGTTTCTTAAAATCTAAAGTATTTCTTGAGGAAAATATAAATTGAAATTCAAAAAGTAAAAAAAATGTAAACAAATCAAATTTTAAATGGACCAAATGTTGATTTTTCATTCGTTTTCTCATTATCGAAAAAATTTGGAAAGCTAAGAAGTCAATAACAAGTTATATAATACAACAAAACCCACATCGGATATGTTTTCATCAAATAGTCTCCTAGATTTGTTATGAAATTAAAATATCATGATATTTTAAGGGCTTTTGATTTCAATATTAGAATTATTCAGTTATGTTGTGCTAATATCAATTGCTTTATACAATTAATTGTTTACAGGCTGCAAAAATCGAACAATAATTTGACTTTGTAAAAAAAGTGCGTCATTTTTATTCGTTATACTTACAAAATGTAAACATTACGAGAAACATTTACATTTGTAAATGTAACAAGTAAATACATCAGATTTAAATTGTAAATGTAGTTTATCTCTCTCATCTCCTTTTTAAAAGGTATTACATACATACGAACACATGGGTCACTCAATAATTAGCGTGATAATAATTGAGGATAGACTGTAATCGTAATTTTATTTTTGGACTTATATTTCGACATTTTGAAGTCGCTTGAAAGTCTTGCAAATGATTAAATTTGGAAAATTTGACCTAAGTCTGCATTATTTTGATGACTTAAACAATTCTATAAATCTGTTTTCCTAAAAATTTAAAAAGATATAATTTCAATTTCCCTAAATTTATGTAATTCATATATCACCAAAATATTTGGACTGCATTTCGTTTGTCTGCACCTAATTAAAGTCTAAATACCAATTAATTTTGGAGTTGCATTGCTTTTAATGTAAAAAATGGTTTAGAAAAAGACGATAACAATTAAATTACAAAATCGATAACGACGACGATTAAATTACAAAATCGATAACCTCTCTATTTTTTGATAGGACATCTTTCAAAATTGAATGAAAAGTCCTCAAATTACATATTCAAATAATTATTTTATTCGATCATTATTCCGATAGGATTAATAATATGATATAAATAATTTGCCTACAGATGCTCAGAAATTTTTGCTTTCAAAAATTTGAACTATATATTCAACATCATAAAATTTTACAAAAAGTATGGGTCTGGTTATATAAACTTTATTTATAAAAATCATCCTTAGAAAGAAGTAACATAACCAGAACAGATTCGATTTTTAAGACCCTTCCGATACGAAAAAATCAGGTTTGAAAGATCTAATTCAAGATTACGGACTTTTTCTTTTAAAATCTGATTCAGATATGTATGCTGAACAATAAATCTCTGATTGATCCTTCCGGCCAGTAGGTTATTTTTTGAGAAGTTGACAGTTTGAATGGATATCAATGACAATTGAATGTTATAAATGCTACTTTTTCTCATTTTCATTATACTAATGTCTGGTATTACTTTCTTCCGATATTTTAATCATATGTCATTTTTTTATTCAAAAATTAAATATAAAGAAAAAAATTTATCTATACGTTGAATTGAATAAATGTAACCATATTTATTCGATATCCTCCCGTATATTCTATTCTATCTATTATCTAACATAATATCCTATTAAATGTTAATATTCGTTTATATTTTTCAATTTTTTTCCGGTCTCATTCCATTTGAATTCTTTACACCTATTCTAATTATATTCGCCTAACATATATGCTATCATTATTTAATAGTTTTAGCCTATGACCAATGATTTACAATATTAATAAATTAACCAATGAATTGGGTCATTGAAAAAAATGACAATTTTTCATAATTATTCAAATTCTCTGGTTATTTCATTAAATACTGAAATAGCTGTATCATGAGAATTCAGCATCATGATCAACGTCATATCAGTGTCTATATCAATAATTTATGATTTTTTTTACAAATTATAGAAATTTACAAAATAACCGGCCATTAATATTTGGAATGAATCATATTCAATGAAAATCAATAAAATGTATCGATAAATTCATGTAAAAATCAAAAGGGTTATTAGTTAATTTATTCGATTTTTGGGTTATTTTCAATACATTAACAGTGTTGTTTTATGATCTATCACATATAGTTGTTTGTAATGAAGAAATATATAATAGGGTTTAAAACAGATTTGAATTAATTTTTTTTATTCTTGAATAAAAACAAGAATTATCCTTATAATTCTACATTAGTTTAATAATTACATGAATGTATATCATTTAACGATTATTAATGTTGAGAAATGAGTAAGATTGTATCAATTTTTTCAATTCAATTCAAAAACTTGGCAATTAAAATGCATTGAGGCTATTTCTGTGCTTATCTATAGTACTGTTATCTACAGTTTGATATTGTGTAGCCAACTAATATTTCTGTTCGTCATAAACTTGAGATATAAATTTATGCCTATGATAATGAGCATAATTGTCACGCTTATATCACAAAAATAAATGTCGTTTGTGCCAAAGATATTTTGAAAGTCTAAACTGATAACCAAAATTTTGATTATCTTTGAGGAAAATCGTTTTTGTTTACAGTATAATATGAAACTAATAACAATAAACATGTTATCCATTGTTGCTTTGTTTTGAATTATTTCTATGAGTTTGAATTTTGAATTTTACTTCTGACTAAGGACAAATATGAAGTCTTTTAAACAAAAGATAAAGTAAATTTATGTTTGAGAAGAAAATTTGAATCAAATTTAACAGCGCCTGTAGAGATCAAAAATTGTTATTGTTGATTTAGATCAATATTAGAAACGATGAAAGTTTTAAACCCAAATTAATATCCTTGAATCTTGTTCAGGGACATGTTTAAAGTTTAATACATGAAATAAGCTAAGACATTATCATCAAACCACTTATAAAATTTAGTGAAATATTGAAAAGTTGAATTACCTTCGGAAAATCTTAGTTCTCAATTTTTTTGAATACTTTATAAATAAAAATAATTCATAAGTATTCCTTTATATGATAATTGTGCATAATTTCAATCAGTAAATACTAAGTAAATTGAAAACAGGTTTTACGTATTTATTCAAATTTTAAAAAATTGAAAGTAAGTATTGAAATGTTTGTTTATTTGACGTAAATCAATATTATTATTAATGATTCAAGTACCTTGCTACTACTACTTCGACGATGGGATGAGCTACGATTACTCCTCCCCGTATTACAGCGCACAAGCAAAAGAAGTCCACAAGAAGAAGACTCCTCAGAGCGCGCGCGATTATGAGCGGATACAGCGAAGGATCAAAGTCAATGGTGACAAAGTCGATGAGGTCTCAACGTACATTGATAACTACTTTGGAACACACGTCACAATTGCGATCCTCACAAGCCTCGCGAAGATCGTTATGGGCAAGCACCGCGTCAAACTGGACAGACTTGCAAGGAGAAATCGCGCTGCTCTTCTCTGCTGGTACGCAGAGAACTGGGACATCGTCTCAGACATACTCAAGGAGAGCAACTTCAAGTCAATGATAAGACCTCTGAGCGGTGGCATACAGACACATAGTAACTCTTCTGTTCGCATGTATCATGCATCATCATGCGACACAGAGGAAAGTGACGAAGCTGTCGATCCTATGGATATCTCAGTTTTGCTCAATTATCACTGAGAGAGAGAAGAAGAAAATATTTGTTTCTATTCCATGTTATAATATGCATCTTTGTTTTTGCATAGCATTTAAAGGTAGAATAAACAAATACCATGAATTTTGCATATATTCGTAGACTTCTTGTCCATGAAAAGGGGAAAAAATTGAGAAAGAATTTTGGAATTTCAATAAAATATTGATAGCGTAATTTGAGAATAATCAGAATATTTGATAAGCCTGTGATTCACAATTGAAGCCAACAAGAAAGTAGTATCTTCATTTGTTCTTATTGTTAAAGAGAGGCGCATGAAAATGAAATAAAACTAGTTAAATAAGGAAGTTTGCTCAGATGTTTATTAAAAAGCAAAGAATGCATTCATATTCTATTTGCATTGAAATGCAACATGTTTTACCAATTACTAATTTTTGTATGGGAAAAAATCAATTTCACACATTAAATTGACATGAGAGAAAAAACTTTTTTCCCTTTTCTCTCTTTAACTAAGATCGAAAGTTTTATTCGGAAAATCGAATGAGCTCAGTGTGGTTGTTAATATTCAGCAGATGATTACGTACTGTGATAATTCAAGCATGTTTTTTTATTACACTTTGAGTTACTTACCACTCACTTCTTCTTCATCGATAGCAACTTTCGCTTGAGTTAATCTGTTCTCATTGCTGCAAAGAAGTATGCAAGTCGATCATTTAAGCGGTTAATAGAAAAGATGCTCAACTCTTGCAACTTCTTTATGTGCTTGAGCATTGAAGGCTATCAAAGAGAATTCCATAATGTTCAAGCCATATTATACCTGTAATATTATATTATTGACATCACGCGAACAATTATAAATCATTATTTATTTCATTTTTTACTCTATTGTCCTATAATATTCTCAATTCGACCTAAAAATTTAGATGAAATGAGAAAAGTAATAATATTTTATACTCATTTCTGGCAATTTTTCTTTGTAATGCATGAGAATAAAAATAATCTTTTGTAGAATAAAAAATAGAATCGGCTTTAAGTAAAATGACGATATATGTACTGATACAAGTCCAATCCAAATGCTATTACGCTGAATTTTGATGTTATTTAGAAATCAAATATATGATTTCATTCTCCATTAGGCATGATAGAGAATAAATAGAATTAACAACCTGTAATTTTTGATCTTTTCAATTAAAATTTACTGTCTTTATTGGTAAGATGAAAATACTATTTGCTATATATTTAACTTCAGAAATACACAATCGCTAGTATATTGACGATATTGGTTTCAAAGTGATTTTAATTGCCAAACGTATTTGTTGAATTACCCATGATTCAAAGTGATTTTCTTCATGGATTTATTTAGAAATCAAAAATAATTATAAATATAGCAATTATTTCACAAAAATACCATATAACATTATAAACCATTTTCTTGATTAATAGAAACAAAATATTTTTTTTGAAAATAATTCAAGGATTCATAATGAAACTTGCATCTTTTCCACATGCTAACTTTTCGGTTCTTATGATAAAATAACTTAATCTAAGGTATAAACATTATATTAGAAACGGAGAAATACAATAGTTGAATTTTATTAGTAGACTTAGCGGGTACTTAAATATAAAACTATGATGGTATGCCCTACTGAGTTTTTCAATGCAATATTTGATCATTTGGATCTTTGAAAATCTATCATTTCTTAGACTGTTTTTTAAAGTATGTCATAATAGTTTAACTAAAACAGAAAATATTTACATATAAGGTTTAATGATTTACACCAAAAATTGAAAAACAATTCAATAATTGCTCAATATTGAAATTTGAGCTGATTAATTGTCTAGATTGGAACTATACTTTGAATATTTTAAGGAAATAAAGCTCTACAGGCATTGTAAATATTTAGATATTAGTCGATCTTTAATTAACATAGATAATAACTCAAAAAATATCATAAATTTCAAAATGCCGTCTTGGTTTTAACTTAAATTATAATTTTTGAAATTATTTTTGGTTTCAGATTTTTAAGGCTTGTACGTGATAATAATACTTCCTTGCATACTATCTTAATTAAAAATCAATATTTATATGATAAAATTCGAGTGCGGGACAAATTTGCCAAGTGTCACTTTTCAATAACCTTAAATTACACTTTTCTCATTTTTAAAAATAACCTTAAATTATATTTGAAGAAATTATGTCTATGATATATGTTTTATGCTAGAATCTTGGAGTTTTCATGCACTACACAAGAGCTCCAAGGTTCCAAGAGTGAATGCTCAATAGCAATTATAGAGATGTACCTTTTCAAAATGACTTTTACTGATTAAATTTAATCAATAGAAGACATTTTGAAAAGGTACCTCTACAATTAGATATACAAGAGATTCAAAGCTTCATTTCAGATAGATTTGAAACTTTGAAACTCTTGGTAGATTTTGAGTGAATGCTGACAATCATCTTTGAGAAGGTTTTCTTAAAGAAAACCTTCTCAAAGAGGTTTCTCAGGAGCCCTGAGGCTCCCTTTCGTAATGATTGGGAGCCTTGGGGCTCCTGAGACGAAGAATGGCTTCGCCGAATCTTTGATCAGCAGAGGCCAAATGAAAAGGCCTCTGCTGATGGATTCTCAGGAGCCCTGAGGCTCCCTTTCGTAATGATTGGGAGCCTTGGGGCTCCTGCAGCAGAGTATCGCTCCGCTCCATTAATTTTTTTTAAAAAAAGTGCCGTGTGGCAAATTTGTCCTGTTCCCTAAAATTCCCATAAAAAAGATTAACAATTATAATGGGTGTTTTCTATTCAAATTTTAACAAGTAATTATAGTAGAGATATAAATAGCGATGCCTATTTTATTAAAAAAGGCGCTTTTTTATTTCAGTAAGGGGCTCTGAAATAAATTGAGTGAATTCAATTATATTTGAATTTGGAACTTTTGTATGAAACTGAATTTTACAACTTGCTATATACATTATATTTCCTATTTTCTATCCGATTTTAATGATTGATTTAGAATTTTACAGTTTTGAATACCATCCATGAACATATGATATAATCTTTTAGGTATGTTTATTTTAATTCTATAACTGCCAATGCCACGAGCGGATGATTTCGTCAATCAAACCAGCAATCTACGAGACAGTTTTCAGGTGACCAAATTGAAGAAAAAAACTGTAGTATGAAAATTTTATAGGTTCTTTCATCAATTATCTTATGATAATCCGAATAACAAAGTTTAAAAAATAAAAACTATCAATTCAAAAACTGGCGGTTTTTACTGTGCTCTGCCTAGCTCAACATGCTCTATTATCTATTATTAATAATATCAATTTTTTTAAATAAAAAGATAAATACGTACCCCTCTCAAATCTTGAGAAGGTTCGTTAGAATTTGAATAGTATTTCGAATTTTGTGATGGTTTTCAATTCATTTGTCAATTTCCATTCAAAATATCTAAAAGAAAAATTAATTCAAAACCTCCCCATTTAATAAATGAATCCCCAAGTAAATGCTTCGACAGATGGCCAAATGATTCCTTTTACAGTTGGAAAATATCAAGTAATAAGACAAATAGGAAAAGGCGGATTTGCAACTGTTGTTCTAGCGGTTGATCCAAAAACTAATCAGAATGTTGCAATTAAAATCTTTGATAGACAGTTCATAGTCAAAGGTGGTTATATGAAATATCTTGAAAATGAATTAAGACTTTGTAGCCGCTTGAATCATCCAAATATCGTAAAAATACTCGATGTTGTTTATGATGAACGATCAATAATGATTGTTATGGAATATCTTTCTAACGGAGATCTACAAAGCTTAATCATGAACGGCTATCATTTTTCGATACCAGAACAGATTAGGATTTCCTTGGAGATTCTTCAAGGGTTAAATTATCTACATAAAAGAGGCATATCACACAGAGATATCAAGCCTGAAAATATAATGTTTGATCAGAATTTTCATGCTAAGATTATCGACTTTGGCTTCTCCAAAGAAAGCTCAATGATGCTTAAGACATATTGCGGAACACCATTTTACATGTCACCAGAAGTTATCCAAACAGATTGTTACAATGGAATAAAGAGTGATATCTGGGCTTTTGGCATAACAATCCATGTTATCGCAGTTAAGCTCTACCCATTCGAATGCCAGAATGAAATAGAGTTTATGAAGCTTATGCAGCATAATAAACTCCGTATTTCCATTATTCCCAAAGGAATTATCGGAGACATATGCGAGAAATCCCTTAAAATGGATCCAAATTCTCGCTCATCAGCCGAGCAACTGATCGAGATGCTTGAAAACTATTTAGCAACATCTACGATTCTAAACAATTCTGGCGTTCATCAGCTTAAACAAGAAACTCTTTTGCCAAGTCTTCCTGTTCGTAAGCACTCTCCATCATCTGTAAGGGTTAAAATACTCAATTCCAGAGTATTTAAGAAAACAAAATTCAATATTAACGTTAAAGTTCGGGTTACTAATAAGTCAACTCCAAACTTATAACCATGATATATGTTCTTTGTTTTTAATTACCATGCAATAAAGAATATTTTTTTTAAAATTATTGAAATGAATTTCAACTTAAAAACCCGAATCATTAATGTCTGATAGGATAAAAGTATAAAAACGCTAAACAAAATGTTATATTGTAATGTTTGGAAAATATTATCAATCAAATTACACCATTTTTGGATGATGTGTTGTAAAATATTAAGAACTATAACTATTAGAGCATAACATAGGGGAGAATTCTATATTGAAAATTCGGATTTAAAAATTGATTAAGAATCAGGCTATTAAATTCAAAATAAAACATAAGAAATTTAAGTCTGATGATTTGATATTATGACTAAATATTAATTCCGTATGAAAGAGTCTTTAAAGTAATTATTGTTTCCATTAACAAATATAACTTTATTATTAGATATTGATCATTGTAAAAATTCTCAATGATCATCGTTTATCTAGGAACACACAATAATTACTAAAGAGGGCAATAATGAAAAAAGTTCTTTAGATTTATTTGTTCAGAAATTGATTTTAGATAGAAATATATAATAAGATCGGCACAGTCTTTAATATTAAAAGGAGAATAAGATTTTTATGTCATTTAATTTAAACATATACAATATCACAGAATAATTTAAAAATAAATCCAGACACGCGTAAATCGTTAAAGGTTCTGAAAGTTGAATTTAAAAAATTGAAAGACGCATGATCTATTCAATTTGATAAGCTTTGAATTGATTGAATGAATTTGAATCAAATGATAATATTAGGATGAGTGGGGGACAAACTCGCCCATTGTCACTTTTTCATTAACCTTAAACTTGTAATTTTCATTATTTTTAATTAACCTTATTTCTTTCCCAATTCCTGATTTATTTTATTCACTTACTATTAAAAGTCACATTTTAATAAAATATAATAATTTATTTATAGCATTTTTTACTATACTGTAATAAAAAATTAATTATAATAAATTAAATGTTTATTAAATCAAATGTTTTCTTTGCAATAATATTTTTAATGTTGAGTAAACAATGTTGGGATCAAGTGTATCATTTTTCAGACCTTTCTGAACAGTTTCAAGCATACTGATGCATTCGACTTTTTTAAATTGTGTCATTTCTTCGAAATCTCTTGTGACTTTTTTGATAACTTTAACACTTCTCTCTGAATCCAGACCTTTAATTTGCAACTTAATCAGGAATGAAGGAACAACACTGGAATATAACTCGATGACAAGTTCATCGAGTCGAAGATTTGGTTGTACACCACTTGTATGTGCCGGATACCATTGTGTCAATTTTTTTCTGAAATTAACTTTAAAAGTACTAAGTAAGATCATGAGATATAGCAATATATGTTTAAACCAACTTATATTTTGGTTGTACACCACTTGTATGTGCCGGATACCATTGTGTCAATTTTTTTCTGAAATTAACTTTAAAAGTACTAAGTAAGATCATGAGATATAGCAATATATGTTTAAACCAACTTATATTTTGGTTGTACACCACTTGTATGTGCCGGATACCATTGTGTCAATTTTTTTCTGAAATTAACTTTAAAAGTACTAAGTAAGATCATGAGATATAGCAATATATGTTTAAACCAACTTATATTTTGGTTGTACACCACTTGTATGTGCCGGATACCATTGTGTCAATTTTTTTCTGAAATTAACTTTAAAAGTACTAAGTAAGATCATTTATTTTTGCATAATATAATGCCAATATGGTTTCTTTTGATTTTATTTCATTTATAAGCAAATCAGATTTACCCAAAAACTCCACTCCATAAGCGTTCATTTGCTAAATTAAAAAGTGACAATGGGCTAGTCTGTCCCTTTCTCGTATTAGGATTTGAATAGTAATTGATACGAATTAAAATAACAAAAATACAAATCTTGATGTAAATCTTTGATTATTAGTTTGAATAAAACCGCTCCGATATTGTATTTAGAGCCATCATTAATATTATATTTACGCCATTTTTGAAAAATAAATTCAAAAGGATATATTATATTTTTGAAAACTATCTCAATCTTCTTTTCAAAATTCATTTCATAAAAAATTTATTTCTCAAATGATCCTATTTCATCACTATTCATATTTTATTGATAAATTTTAAGCACGTTTATTAGATCTCTGAAAATTACTTTTACATTATTTATTTAGAAATGTTATTTCTAACATACACTAAAATGTGAATATATTTTCTTCTAACACCACAACATTCAAATTTGAACAACCGTAAACAGTTTTCATTCTCAAATCTAACCAATCCTCACAAATTTTCTTATCATCCCTCAAGAAAAATATTTGTAAACTTCTCAAATTATTCTGAATTTTGTTTTCTCATTTCCCTAATGATGAACGAAGAAAATCTAGGCAATCTTTCATTTTTAATTCCACAAACAATTGGAAAGTATCAGGTTATTCGCCAAATAGGCAAAGGTGGCTTTGCTGTTGTTGTTTTAGGTTTTGATCCAAAAACTAATCAAAAGGTTGCCATCAAGATATTTGATCGTGAAGAAATTGCAAAAGGAGGCTTTATGAAGTACCTTGAAAACAAATTACGTCTCTGTGTTCGATTTAATCATCCCAATATAGTTAAGATTTACGACATCATCTATACTGAAAAGTTTATTATGATGGTTATGGAGTACATAGAAAACGGAGATCTTCAGTCCCTAATTAACAGAAATTTTCACTTCTCTATCCAAGAACAATTAAAAATTGCTTACGAAGTATTAAGCGCCATAGATTATTTACATAAAAGAGGCATATCTCATAGAGATATTAAGCCAGAAAACATCCTTTTTGACCAAGACTTCCATGCAAAACTCATTGATTTCGGTCTATCGAAAGAAAATTCAGATATTTTAAGCACCTATTGCGGAACCCCTTTCAACATGGCACCAGATTTAGTAATGAATTCAGCATATGACGGAACAAAGGCTGATATCTGGGCCTTCGGAGTTACTTTTCATGTATTAGCCACAAAACAGTTTCCTTTTGAAGTAAAAAACGAAGTAGAGTTCCTAAATTAGATATCCAAGGGCTCAGTCGACATCATAATCCAACCAAAAGGCATCATTGGCCAACTTTGCAAGAACGCATTAGTTTTTGAACCAGGAGAAAGGCTTAATGCTAGCCAATTGATACAGATGATAGAAGACTCATTACATACAGCAAACATTCTTAATAATTCAGGTGTCCAACAGCCAATAAAACAATCTCTTCCTTCCCTTAACAGATTTCAAACACCTTTATCCGCTAGATCAAAGAAAGTTGTAATCGATGATAAATCCCTCAATAAGATGAAATTTAATATTAGAATGAGAGTGCTCAATAGATCCACAGAAAGGATGAAAAAATAAGATTTGTTTATTATGTAATTTGTTTTGTTTTTTTAGCGTAAATTGTAATATATTTATAGTAACCATGACATTCATATGTTTTCGCAGGTCAGATGCTCTTATTGAATTATATATTTTTATCTGTCCAACAAATTTCGTAAACACATTATTAATGCATCATTTTTATGGAATTACATCTGTTTTGGCTTAAGAAAATAATGATTTACTATCAAGGATTTAATTTTCATCGCATTAATCGACGATAAGCTCAATCATGCAAATTTATGCATTTTTAAAGTTCCTTTAAAAAACAGAGTTAATGAAAATCTTTTAATTATCCTCCGACATGCGATCTTCTTGTTGAAAGAAAATGATGGGCAAATAAGGCATTTACGTAAAAATATTAAAATGAATTAACAGTTACATACTAACTTAACATAATATTTAAAATAACAATTACAAATTATTATTATTAAATAATCGATTACGATATCTGAGGTTCAAATTACCGAACGCCTTAGCATTAATTCTTCGTACCTTAATATGCAACGGAGTATTATTTCTAGCGAAGAGTCTTGGTAATGGATCAATTGGAGCTTTCTTAAAATTGGCAGAACTAATTGCAGAGTTTGAATTTTGCTCGCTTTCTATGTATTCTAATATTTCTGCAGACGTCATTCTTTCCTTTGGATTCATTGTTAGACATTTTTGAATAATATTTCCAACAAGTCCCTTTGGAAGGATTCTTAACTTCAAGGTTTGCTCTTTTGCTTCTTTAACATACTGAACTTCACTCATTGGATCCCGTGGCAAGGCAGTGCAATGTGATTCCAAATGCCCATATATCTGCTTTCATACCATTATATGAATGACTAGTAATCATTTCTGGGGCAACATAATATGGTGTGCCGCAGAATGTATATAAATTAGAAGAATCTTCTTTGGATAAACCAAAATCTATTATTTTAGGGTTTAATTTTTCATCAAAAACAATATTTTCTGGTTTGATATCTCTATGGGAGATGCCTCTTTGATGCAAATAATTGAGGCCATTAAGAACTCCAATAGCAATTTTGATTTGCTCTTGAGTTGTAAATTTAACGCCATGGGTTAGTAATGACTGGAGATCACCATTTGGGAAGTATTCCATTACTATGAGAATGATATCAGGTTCATAAATAACTTCATAAGTCTTTGCTATGTTTGGATGATTAAATCTCATTGAAAGTCTGAGCTCTGCTTCAAGATACGCTAAAATATTATTCTCTTGAATTTGAACTCGATCACAAATCTTGATTGCAACTTGTTGATGAGTTTGATCATTGACTGCTAAAACAACAACAGCGAATCCTCCCTTTCCAATAAGCTTTGTAATGGTATATTTTCCAATATGAGAAGGAATACGGATTCTACTTGTGTTTACAGGAGACTCATCAAGGTTATTCGTGACACTAATCATGAAAATAAAATAGACACGTTTGAAAAATTGAATAGAAAGTTTATTTCAGTCGACATCAATTGATATTTATAGGAATTAAGGATGAATACAAGATTTTGTTTTAAAGAGTAATTATTGTTAAATGGAAGTTAGAAATTGAAGGGATATTAATCAAAAGTTCTAAATTCCTGTCCGTGTGATTTAGTGTTAGACGGTAAAATTGGAAAGAAATATAATAAATTTAAAATAAATGCCCTTTGAAATTTTTATTTTTTAAGTATATTTGAAAATTGAATAGATGAGTTTTCTGAGATCTCAAATTATGTATTTATCAAATCAATTATTGATAAACTCAAAAGAATTGCTATTTTAACAAAACAGAAAAAAAAAAAAAAAAAAAAAAGGTAGTGGGGCTTCCAGGCACTTCGTGCCCTCTAGCCCCGAAGATGTTTAGTATAAATGAAGTTTTTATTCGGAAAATTGTTAGTCTTCTGGTGTGAATTCGGAGGACTCTTCTTCTTCCTCCATTGCTTCTGGGAAGAAGCCTTCTTCTGGGTCGAAAACATTATATAATGTGTCGCTTTTCACAAATTATATATGTTTTCATTTTTTGTCACTTCTCTGTCACTTTTCAGGAAAAAAACATTTTTATTATTATATATAAATGAATTTTACAAAACCTCCGTTACCGTTCTTTGGAAATAAGAGTAAATGTAAAGATATTATATTGAGAGAACTTAAGAAACTACCGAATGGTCTAACATTTGTAGATTTGTTCGGTGGAAGTTTCTATATATCCCATTTGTGCCATACAATATTCCCAGACTCAAAGATTATATGCAATGACTTCGACAACTATATGGACCGTCTCAAACATATACCAGACACAAACAATATATTGAAAGAGTTAAAAGAAAAGATACCTATAGGTAAGATGGAACGTATACCATTAGATAAGAAAAATATTGTGAGAGAGGTTTTGAAAAAAGCAGAATATATAGACTGGGATAGTATATCTGCTAGACTATTATATAGTGGTTCTATAAGAGTTCATGACATTGAAACACTTATGTCAAAAGTTTTATATCTTAACTATACAAATGTTTTCAAAGAGGACATAGAAAAATATATTGAGGGTATAGAGTTTGTGAGATGTCATTGGACAGAGTTGTATGAAAAATATAAAGACAAGGAAAATGTTTTCTTTATAGTGGACCCGCCGTTCTTTAACACATGGGATTTTCAATACCAAGTAGACTGGACTTTGAGAGACTCTTTAGAAACTTTAGACGTTATACATAACCATCCATGCTTTTACTTTACATCCGATAAAAGTGGTTTGGAAACCGTTATGAGATGGTTAGAGGACATACATGACTATGAGTTTAGATATGACAAGATAGAATATGAGAGAGGTCCTATAAACCGGAGAAAGTGTCATAACAAAGAAATTTTATTAGTAAGTAAATGTGGTTTGAAATAGGACTACTTGTTTTAGGTTTTTTCCATTGTGTCATTTATTTCTTTGACGTGGCAGAAAGATATAGAGAATATGAAGATGAACCAATGCCTGCAAATGTTCAGTATATGTACTCGTAAGAGATATTTTTATCTAATATTAAATGGACGCACAGAACTTAGCGAATGCACAGCAACCTGGACAACCAAACCCAGAGAATATTCCAAATGAAGTTAGAATACAAACTGCAATGGCAAACTATGGTCAAGTGCCAACAGATGTACAAATGCAAACTGCCATGTCAAATGACGCTGCGTTAGGTTTGCCACCATGGTATGCAAATATGAGATGGAAAGAGTTTTATACAAACCCTGAAGTGGGATATAAACAACTTTATGCAGATGACGCGAACACAGGAGTTGACCCAGAATATGTTTTCTACCAGAGGAGAAACAGAATGTATGAGCTCCAGTTAAAGAATGCTATGGAACTCAACAGGAAACGTAAGAGACTAGGCGGACATTAGATTTTTACATATAGTAAAATGGGTTTCTTCAGTAAGATAGGAAACTTCTTTCGAAATGTTGGAAGAGGTATATGGAATGGAATAAAATCTGTCGGAAGAGGAATTTGGAACGGTGTCAAAAATATTGGTAAAAGGGTAGGTCAGTTTGTTGGTATTATACCTAAAGACCCTGAACCAGAAGAGCAAGCTCCTGTTATACAACAGCCTGAACCTGCACCACAGTCTAGTTGGCAACCAAATCCAACACCTCAACCGTATTAAAAAATTATATTTTTACCGTTCGATAGTAGTTGTATATGAAACTAAGTTCTAAGTAAAACGCATGGTATAATGGAATTATTCTTTTTCTTCCATCTGTAGTAAACCATACTTGAAAGTCTGAAATACTTCCACTTGGTGGTTCGTATAACTTTGTAGGTTTTTCGTAAAAGTCATTTGCCAAGCATAAGAAAGAGTTTTGGGCGCCAGAAAATGAAGCATGAACAATAATAGCATCTTGGTCGAAAACATTTTCATATGTTCCATTAGGGTTTTCGACTTCATAAAAGTCTGGGTGTACTGGATATGCTGCAGGCTGATTTAACATCCTCATAAATCTATACCATGCCAAGTTGTTATATTTTGTAGAAATATAAACGTTTTCTCCAAGGTCTTCTATTCTATTGATTTTAACAGTTGCATTTTTCCTGTCATAAATAATATCGAGATGGTATTCTCCTCGTCAATGTTATACTGTTTTGCATATTCGATATAGATATCGTTTATTTTTTCTTGAAAAGCTTGAAGAGTTGTTTCTAAGTTTACAAGCAAACTAACTTGTAAAAGTTTTCCCTGTTCAAATTTCTCATACATACGTTTTTCTTTGTTATAGTATCGAACTTCAAAACCGACCGTAAATGGGAAACCATGTATGGCTTCTGAAATGAACTTCATTCTACGAAAGCCAATAGCTTTTGTGACAGATGGGTCTCTTAGCCATCTTAATGGGTAGTCAAAACGATAGCCTTCATGCTTTACGGTCTCTGTCTCAAACTTTTGACCGACATTAGTAAAAAGTTCATCTAATGGTTTAGTTGTAGCAACTCTTGAATTTTCTTTTTCTATTGGAAGCATATTTTATCTAGAATAAAAATGTCGAAAGATATTGCTTCCATGAGAGAAATACAACACAACCGACAACTCATTATGCAAGCTCTAAATAAGAAACAACAAACTTTTCAAACTATTCTAAGATATCTGAGTCATTGAAAGAAGGAAACTTAAAACTGACATTAAACCCAATGACAGATGAGTTTCTATTTCAAGACAAGAAGAACAATACTGTCTGTATAAATCCAACAAAAGGAACTTTAAACGAGAAACCTATAAATGAACTTCTTTTGAAAACAGATGTTGACAACAAAGCTGACAAAGAATATGTAGACGATGCAATACAAAAGAAGAAGAAAGAGCTAACAATGCTTATGCAACAAAAGAACATACTCATCCTGAACTAGCAGACAAAACATATGTTGACAATAAAATGTCAAGTGAAGTGACGAGAGCTGAAAACGAATATTCTAAAAAGACTCATACACATTCTATATCTGAAATAACAGACTTAAACGTTAGCCTTGAAAAAGGGATAAGGATTTATGGCTAGTGCGTTAGTGAAGAAGGCAGATAAGGAATATGTGGATGAAAAAGATAAAGAAATTATAGAAAGGGTTGACTGGTACCATGAATGGACATCGAAGATTTTAAAAACTAAAGCCGATACAGGATGGGTTTCAGGATGTTTAGACCTTAAAGCAGATAAAACTTATGTTAACGATGAGTTAGAGAAGAAAGCAGATAAGAACCATACACATACAAGTTTTACAACTGTTGCTATAGAAAGTATTGAAGGAACGGTTGACGTAACTGGTGGGGATGTATTATATTGTAAACCTCCTAACTTTCCACAAGGTTTAACATCGGATGACGACATAACGACGATGAGAAACATTAGATGTAAAGATGTTTATGTCATGAAGGATGAATATAATATTAAATTCACTGCTCAAGATTTATATGACAAGAAAGCAGACAAAAAAGAGCTTCAAACATTAAAGACAGAAATACTTCAAACATTATATCCTATAGGCTCTATTTATACGTCAATGAACTCTACCAGACCAGAAACAGTTCTGGGTTTTGGAACTTGGACTCAAATAGTCGACAGGTTTTTGTATTGTGCAAACTCTTCAAAGGAAACAGGTGGAAGTAAAACGATTTCAGGTGAAATTTACCTGCACATAGTCACTACATAGATTTAAGTACATCTCAAGCAGGTTGGCATAAGCATAGATATTGGGATTGGTCAGGAATGACAAAAGGTAAAGGATATGATGTTAAAGACGTTAAGTTTGCTATAAATTGTTTCTGGAGTAACACTGAGGAGGTGAGGAACCATACACATCGCGTTCAGGATATACGCAAACAACGGGACAAAGTAAAGAATACATGCCACCTTACATGAGTTTACGCATGGTATAGAAATGCTTAGTCGTCATTTTCAACTTCTTTAGCATATTCGTCAGGAGTTGTCTTATATTTGTTAGGAACTGTTTTTGAAAGTATACCACCTTGAACTTTGACAAGTTTGAAACGAGGTCTGACAATAGTCGTTTTATCTTCTGCTTGCAGTGTGTACATTTTGCCATGTTTGCCTAAAACTTCATAATATTCTCTTGTATACTTTCTTCTATTTTTACGAACACGAATGTGAGTACCTGTCGGGTTCCCATTGTTGTCATAGTCAATAGTATTTTCATATGGGTCGCGTTTAGGTATTTCTATTTTTACTTTGTCACCTTTCTGAAGTTTGAAGCCGGCATTCTTTTCTTGTTTGTCTCTTTGACTAAATTATTAAATATATAGTCTTTCTCTAAGTCAGGGTTGTTTTTTCATTTCTTCGGGGGAGTGGTTTCCCAAACCTTTTGTTTACGGCTATTGTAAATATTTAAAACTTGTCTCATCTTTGCCATGGAGAAGTGTCTATATTTGTCGTCATATGACATTTCATTTGCTTCACCACCTTGTGGTTGGTTTAAGTCTCTTAACATTTTATCAACCGTCAATGACCAAGAGCAGAATGGTTTTGGTCGACAATGAAATATTGGTTTACATTTTTTGAACGCAGATAGTTTTTTACATCATCTGATTTGAAAGAACTTTCACAGTCAGATGTCAGTTTTGTTGGATGGTATTTGTCAACGAATATTGTCAAAGCAGTTTTCACATCTAAAATATTTTTGGACCATAATGGTATGGCTTCACAGTATCTTGTGTTTTGACCGACAAATATTAGCCAGTTGGTGGTCCATCTGTTCTAACTCTCGGAATGTTTTCCAAGATATCCATAAACCAAGCATTTGGTGTTGAACTAAAGATTTTTACCATGAGTGCTTTCTTTGTCGCTTTAGAAACATAGGGGTCCTTTGTTTGGATTCGTCATTTTTTATCCTATAAGAAATGGGTTTATTTGGCGCATTAGCAGGAGTTGCATCTAGATTTTTACCCGCAGTGGGAACAATAGCCAGAGGTGTATTTGGAGTTGGAAGGAAGATTTTGAGTACATTAGGTATACTGAAAGAGAAAGCACAACCTATTATACAAACTGTACAGAAAGGTTGGGATGTACACGAGATGCAACAAATCTTATTCCAAATCCTGAAACAAGAGGAAAAGTTCAAGGATGGATGGACAATGTAGGAAGACAAGCAGGAAACTATTATAACAAAGCAAATGACTACTATAACCAAGCAGGACACTATATGGACCAAGGTGAAAGATTCTTTAACAGAGGATATAACCATGCACAACAATGGGTAAACAATAACCAACCTCAACCGCCTCAAACGTGGGGAATGTAAAGTTTTTTACTGAGATGAAATGAACAATACAGCATTGAGACAATGGGTTCAAGATGGATTTGTCGGCTTCCAGCAGTTACACAACGTGTTTGTCAAGTTCTTCCTATACCTCAGGAAGTTTTAGACCGACTTAAAAAACAACAACAACCAGTTGAAAACAAACCAACTAAAATTTTTTACTGAGATGAAATGACCGAAGAAGTTGAAACGGTAGATTTGACACCACAAACAAAAAGTTCAGAACCATTGTCAAAACCTGTCAAGAACTTACAGATGAAGAGAAAATTCAATAATAGAAAGTGCCAGGTCTGGAAATACAAACCCTAACTACAAGTCACTTTTCATAAAAATGGAACGGCAAGTATCTCAAAAAAGAAACAGACTCTCACAAATAAAATATTGAAGTCTGAAGGAGCTTTCGAGACAACAGATGGAAAAGTTTACTTCACTGACCAACAGTTCATTATAGAACATCTCATTGACTTAGAGTCGAAATATTCTAAACTTTACAACAAACACAAAAAGTTGAAAGGAAAACAAAAACAAATGGCATATGATATTTATGAAGATGTTGACGACACAACTGTTCCTGCAAGTGAAGTAAAGTCAGAGAAACCGAAAAGTGACGAAAAACCGATAGAAGAAGAAAACCAAAAACTGAAGATAAACCAAAACCAAAGTTTAGTTTGGAAACTAAACCAAGTCAACCTTCATTAGCTGGTATGGGTTGGCGTCAAAGACTTATGGCAGCAGGTGGTTATGTAAAGTAAAGAAAAATATTTTTTTATTTTTATAAAAATGCCCCCATATAGAATGGATAGAAAATCTGCTAGAATAAAAAGCAGAGTTACAAGGATATGGTTGGAGAGTTTCGAAGAATTTTAAATATAGGAAGGGAAGACCCATAAAAGTCTATGACAAATTGTCTGGTCTTCGCTACGAAATGGATTTGGAAACAGCACGTGCCAATTATCCAAACAGACTAGAGAGGTTAGAAGAAGAACGTCTTATGGACATGCCTTTCGATGTGTTAAACATTGCATGAAGTAAAAATTTATTTTTTAAAAAGTGACATTTTTTATTTTATTTGAAATGTACGCTGAGTTTGTTGGAGAAGACCGTTGGGAAACTTGTTTGTTAGATGAGAAATATGAAATGGCATACCATTTTAAAACAATATATTTTTACATATATTAAATGCTTCAGGTTGAAAAACAAAGAACAAAAGTAGCAGATACAAAACCGTTAGACTATATCTTTACAAATGCTGGTAGGACTATTTCAGATGAAGAAATTTCATCCCGAACATACAGGTTTGACTATCCAATTCGTTGGCTTCAAAGTCCTTCAGATGCAAAGGCAATAGGATTTAGAAGAGTTTTGTTTTCAAATAGAACTAACGCATTTATGTTCGCAGTATATTTTCATGGGCAGTATAAAGGTTCTGATGGTCTAATAGACAAATTTGACGAAATGAGAATCTTTACAGTTCGTTCAGACGAAAGTCTTGAGAAAACTCTAAATGACTTTCAAACTCAAATGAACAAATATTATTGGGAATTTCAAGAAAAATACGACTCTTTACTAAATGGAACATACTATCTGAAACTAGAATATGACAAGATGAACTCCACCGTTTCATTTCAAAAGATTGAAATTAACCCTCCAAGAGATACAGAGTTTTTATTTTGGAAAGTAGACAAACGTTCTTGGGCACAATTTCTTCGGTTACTAAACCAGAACGAACCATTACCACCAGATGGTCCATTTAAATTTATACTTCCACCAGCAGATTTGACAGTTTATAGAAACGTGTTTGACCCTCAAAATGTTATGTGTCATGCAAGTTTCAGTTCAAGCAACAATAGTTTTCTATGTATTGGTAAGGACTTTTATGACTTTGCTTCTAAATTCTACGAACCACCTAGTAACAGTTTCTCTGACTTTCAAGTTTGGTTCACAACAAATGGTGTGCAACATATTATTCCATTGTACTATGACTTTTATCTCGAATTGTCTTTCATATATAACTACGGAAAAGTGCTGAAAAAGTATTGAATGTGAAGATATTAGAAAATAACATTTTTTCTAACATCGTAGAAAACTCATGAAAACAATTTATTTTTGACACTTTCACAAAAAACATAAAAAAGTGCAGTTAAACGTTAAGGTTTACTGAACTGGTTGGATGTCGCCTTCACAGGTTATGTAGAATGGCTGACCCGAGAAGTGGAACAGTGCTCTGAGAATTTGTATAATTCGTGGAATTGGACTCTCTCTGTTTGGAAGTAGTATCCAAGGACGCTTGGCAAAGAACTTTATAATGGCTTCCTTCTTTGCTTGCTTTATGTCGTCGTAGGCTGTCCCGTCTGGTATTTGAATTGGAATTTCGGTTTCAATTTCGATTTTCAGCGCACCTCTTCCAGACAACCAGCAGCCGAGGGACTTGTTGGCTTTGTCCTTGCCCAAGTACTGCTTAACAACTTCATTTATCTCTATAAGGTAAATTGCCTCATCTAATGGCTCGATGTTGTCCATTGTTCTGTTTCAGAACTAGTCTTGTACTTTTTCAGAACAATACTTGTACTGTTTCAGAACTAGTCTTGTACTGTTTCAGAACAATACTTGTACTTTTTCAGAACAATACTTGTCCTTTTTCAGAACAAATTTCCCGTAAAAGCTCTCAATTTGTGAGAAAAATTTTCTGTTTCAGAACAATACTTGTACTTTTTCAGAACAATACTTGTACTTTTTCAGAACAATACTTGTACTTTTTCAGAACAATACTTGTACTGTTTCAGAACAATACTTGCACTGTTTCAGAACAATATTTGTACTGTTTCAGAACAATACTTGTACTGTTTCAGAACTAGTCTTGTACTGTTTCAGAACAATGTCCGACGTACCACCAACCCAGTCCATTCCCAAACCAGAGGAACCTAAAGCACCAGCCCCTGCACCTCAGTTCCAGCAAGTACCTCCGATTTACTACCAATTTCCACCTCAAGGTTACTACCCACCACAAGGCTTCCCGAACTACCCTCCTCTGCCTATGCCTTACTTCCCCAACCCTTGGATGTTCCAGCAAGCTCCACCCCAGCAATTCCAATCTCAATCCAAATCGAAGAGAGACCAAGAGTTCGAAGAAGGTCTGAACCGTTTACGCAAAGAGTATGCCACAGCTCCAATTGAGAGAAAGTTGTTCCCGGACCAAAAATATAATTTAGGGTAGAAGGTTAGATCTAACCTCTTTTCTACCCTCTTGAATTTTCATGATTTCATCGTAAATGTTTTGTCAAGACTTCTTCGTAAATGTTTTGTCATGACTTCTTCGTAAATGTTTTGTCATGACTTCTTCGTAATGAGCGTAAAGGACCCAAAAATAAAGTTTATGTTAGAATGTTAGATCTAACATGTTTTCTAACATGTTTTCTAACCTCATGAATTTTCATGAATTTTCCCGAAATAAAAAATAAAGTTAGTTTTATTTTGTATTTTTTGTATAAAAGATATGATTTCAGGGATTTTTTTGACGAAGTGTCAATGTTCACTTCGTCAAAAAATAACAGTTATCTAATGAAAAAGTGTCATTTTATTTTTTTATTTTGTATGTAAGATATGATTTCAGGGATTTTTTTGACGAAGTGTCAATGTTCACTTCGTCAAAAAATAACAGTTATCTAATGAAAAAGTGTCATTTTTTGTATTTGACGAGAATGTCGGGTAGATGGTTAGATCTAACATGTTTTCTAACATGTTTTCTAACCTCTTGAATTTTCATGAATTTTCCCGAAATAAAAAATAAAGTTAGTTTTATTTTTTTAATTTTTTTTATTTTGTATAAAAAAATAAAAATGTCAACAATCGGCACAACAACACTTCAAACAACTACAGCACCAAACTCTTTAGTCATGAATCCAACATCTATGTTAGTAGAGATGAAAAGCTTCATTCCTTCTTCATATACTTTCGAAACAAAAATCCAGAAGATAAAGCAAGAACTTTTAACAAGTAATTTAGACTGTAGTGCGAAAGATGAAACAAATGAACAGTATCTTTATGAAATGGAGGACATTATTGACCATTTGCCTAAACTACCTGAAATTCAACAACAAAAACTCACTATTCCTGAATTCGATGAAATAGAAGTGAAACCAACTGACTCAGTAGAAATAAAGAAGTTCATACGAAAGGTAAACTATGAGTTTCTAGGATTTCATTGCAACCATAAGGTTATGGACAAAGATTGCGACATGGTATATAAGAATGTTTCTGACATATATAAATCTGAAGAATTTAAGACCTACGACAACTTTGTTTCGTTAGTTGCTGAATGTGTATGGCAGATAAGAGATGAAGATAGAAGAGGTAAAGTATGGAATAAACAGATAAAACCAGCAACTTTTGAGTTAAAGAAAACCATTGACGCTTTAGTTGTTTTAGCAGGTAAGGTTTCAGAATATAACGCAAAAATGAACCCGCAATGTTCTAAATGTAAAGCAGCAATGAGGAGATATAACTACTCCGTCAAAGAGATAGAAAGAATGAGAAACGACTATGCAGATTTAAAGAAAGAAGCAGAAAAGCCAGCAGAAGATAAAATGGACATGTTAGCATTTCTGAACAAAAACTATCCAACAGCAGAAGATTTCCTTCTATCTGACGTCAAGAAGAAATATAAAGAAACCTTCGGTATCGTTAAAACATTCGATGTACTAAAAGAAGAAATAGAGGCTACAAAACTGTTTAAAGTCATGAACCATCGCAACATATACCATGTAAAACGCTTGTAAATAGTTATGTGAGAAAACGTGTTAGAAAACGTGTTAGATCTAACATTCTAACATAAAATATATTTTTGGTCATTTACAATGAAGTCTTGACAAAACATTTAAGTTCGATGAAGTCTTGAAAATTCATGAGTTTTGTGTGTTTTAGACCATGTTAGAAAACGTGTTAGAAAACGTGTTAGATCTAACATTCTAACATAAAATATATTTTGGTCATTTACAATGAAGTCTTGACAAAAACTATCCAACAGCAGAAGATTTCCTTCTATCTGACGTCAAGAAGAAGTATAAAGAAACTTTCGGCATTGTTAAAACATTCGATGTACTAAAAGAAGAAATAGAGGCTACAAAACTGTTTAGGATTTCAAATATACATCGTACAATTCATGTAAAAACGCTTGTGAAAAAAGAGGTGAAAAAACAGGTGAGATCGCACCACTTCACCTAAACTTTATTTTTGCTGAAAAATGACCAAATTTCATGAGTTTTCCCGAAATAAAAAATAAAGTTAGTTTTATTTTTTATTTATTTTTTTATTTTGTATGTAAGAACAGAAATGACAAACATTGAGTTTGAAACAGTTAAAAAGATAGACAATGACACCAAATTGGTTAGAATAGGTGATTTAAACGTAAGATACTCAAAGAAATACAACAAATATTCTTTGTCAGACATTATATCTCCATCTGGAAAGAAAACAAAGGACTGGGTTAGAAATGCTTCTACTCAGAAAATTTTGACAAGAAATCCTGAGCTTATGATATCGGTAAGATTCTATGGAACTGCAGCATATCTTATAGACAAAAGTCTTATACCAATAGTTTTGTTATGGTTAGACCCAGTTGTTGGATATAACTTCATAACATATGGTTCATTCGATACGGAACGTTGCAGTGAAGGCTTACTTTACATCGTTCAGAAACCGAAGGACTTCAATACAAAAAGATATAAGATAGGAAGAACATATAATATAACTCAAAGATATGACAGTACAGTCAATAGAGTCAAGGTTGTGTTTGCTAATGATATGAGAGCTGCAGAAACAGAACTACTTGAAAAGTTTGAGAAAATGTATGGTGCTCCCATAAAAGGTAAAGAAACGTTTGAAGTAGATGAGATAGATAAAGCTATAAAATTATTTGACGAAGTTGCTGAAAAATACATGTAAAGCGTTTATTTTTGGTCTTTTGTGAAAGTCAGAAAATAAAGTTAGTTTTATTTTTTTGTATTTTTTTGTATGTAAGATATGATTTCAGGGATTTTTTTGACGAAGTGTCAATGTTCACTTCGTCAAAAAATAACAGTTATCTAATGAAAAAGTGTCATTTTATTTTTTTATTTTGTATGTAAGATATGATTTCAGGGATTTTTTTGACGAAGTGTCAATGTTCACTTCGTCAAAAAATAACAGTTATCTAATGAAAAAGTGTCATTTTATTTTTTTATTTTGTATGTAAGATATGATTTCAGGGATTTTTTTGACGAAGTGTCAATGTTCACTTCGTGTCATAATGTAAAAATAACGCTTACCATGTAAAACGCTTGTGAAAAAAACAGGTTAGAAAGGAGGTTAGATCTAACCTTCTACCCTAAATTATATTTTTGCTGAATTCCGTATGAAAACAGTGAAGCACAGCGAGTAGGTAAGAAACCTTAGTCGCCAAAACTCTATGAAAATCATGAAGCACAGCGAGACCGACTTTTTTCGGGGTCGCCTAAAACTCATGAAAACAGTGAATTTCCTTAAGATAGAAAAAATAAAGTTAGTTTTATTTTTATTTATTTTTTTATTTTGTATGTAAGGACAGATATGTCAACAACAGAGAACACAACAACAGTTATAGTCCATGAAGCTATAAATGAAGAATATGAGTACATACAGTTTAACAAACAGTTACGTCTCATTCGTTCGGTCAAAGACGATATGTACCAAATGCAAAGTATTTTGACAGCATGTTTTGCTCCAGACACTAAACACGCAGACGACTGGTTCAAAAACCAAAGCACACAAGAACTTTTGAGTGAAATTTCTCTAGACCGACTTTTTTCGGTCTTGCATAAAACACATGAAAATCGTAAAAATTTGCCAATAAATTTAAGAGGATATTATGTACATAGACTTTTAGTAAATGCAGTTGCAATGTGGGCTTCTCCTCGTTATGCATGGCATGTTTACAGACTTCTTGACGAAATTCATAGACAAGAACGTGAAGAGATGGAAAAGAAACTTCAAGCAAAAGATGAAGTCATTGAAGCAAAAGACAAAAGCATTCAGAAAAGAATACCACGTTCGGTACCAAAAGGAAAGGAAAAGAACTATAAGTATATGATTTATACTGAAGAGTTGGAGAAAGAAGAAGATAAAGATATGGTTATGTTGCATTTAGTCAGAAGAAACAACAAAAGCTTTTACGACCTTGCTAAGATTTACAAATCTGACAGAAATTGGTTCTATCGCGAAAACTTACCGATTTCAATGACCCCAAATGAAGATGTGAAACAAATAGTTCAAGATACGTTACCTCAAACACACTATGATATGAAAGGTTGTACAATACTTACCTTCAAAGAAGACTTACCGCTACTGAAGGAAAAAATAACAGAGTATTTTGACAACTTCAAACAAGTAGAGTAAATGAACTCTTTATTTTTCAAGCTTGACTTTTTACAATTTGAACTTTGTTCGCGTAGATATGAATTCTGAAAGAAGTATGAGGGTCTTGTATGACTTTATACTTCTCCCATAGTTCATATCTGTCAAACTTACCTGCCATGGACTCTTTCATAAGTTCCATGAAATCGTCTTCGGACAATCCAGGGAAAAGTATAATGTCAGTAAGTATTCTCTTTACATCCTTACTTAAACTCTTTGCTGTCTGTACACAAATGACAACTGAGATGTTAAAGTGTCTGAGCTTCTTAAGAATTCGACACATGTCTTGTTCTCTGTTCTTTAACAAAGGATGAGAAGCAAAGTCATCTAAGATAAGAAGACACCTATGAGGGTATGTCTTCCAATCGTAAGATTGCAATTTCTTCGAAATGTATTCTATCTCTTTCTGTTTGTTTCTGAAGTGTTTCTTCTCTAATATTCTCTGCATTTCCTCATTTGGGTCTTTAAACTTCGAATTTATATACTCATTTATAGCATTGTACTTCAAACTCTTCTTTGGTACTTCTTTATCCAATCTAACAACTCAGTATCCTTTATACATACTAACTTAGACTTCTTTATAATATCTTTGAACGAATTGACGGTTTTGGTCAAATTGACCAGAAGTACTACAAATGACAACTAACTCATAGAATGGGTTCTTCTCATCTAGTTCTTGTTGTTGTGCAGCCATTTTAAGATAAGTGAAAGTCTTACCCGACCCAGGTGGTGCAATTAGACCTGTTATACCATTCTGAGCAAATAAGAACTTGTCATGTATAGGCTTTATCTGAGCATTTTCTAACTTCCTCTTGTTCTTGTTTAAAACATTCTCAAATTTCTTGTCAATGTCAGCAAACTTTTTTTCTAACATATTTTTAGAAAAATTAAAATTTTTATCTTTTAGAAAATGTCTAGCGATTTCGCTATCTATATTCGAGACAAGCTTTTCGACAGCAAAACATCTGTCGACCATAAAATCTTACATAGTGTAAACAAGAAAGGTGAATTTGTTCTAAAGTTCTGTTTCTGGGAATATGACAAGAACCATAAAACATTAAGCAGAGCAGTCTTAAAATTTGTCAATGACAGACTTGTTGACAGAGATGACGCCGATTGGAAAGATGAAGTCCAACAAAAGTTCTTAGAATGCAAAGAAGACACATGCGCTGTTCTTGAAGATGAAATAGAAAACAGAATAGAAGAGCTATTAAAGGACAAAGAACTTTTACATAAATATAGTTGCGCCAAATTTGACATAACTCCACCAGAAAAGAAGAAGAAAGAAAAGAAAGTAGAAGAAGAGAAGAAAGAATCTGAACCAGTTCCAGAGAAAAAGAAATTTGACATGTAAAAATAAAATTTTATTTTTAGAACATTTCTGGGTCAATGTCAATGTTCTCTTCCTCTTTAGGAGCAAACACTGGCTTAGACTCTAAAATCTTTTTACCCAATTTACCTTGAACTTCAACTATCTTAGACTCATAATATTCATAGTCGTCTGCTTTCTTTGGTTCATAAGGTATAACAAGTTTGTATGCTTTGCCTTCTTTAAGGTTTGAAAACCTTCTGTCAAAACTTTCTTTGACTGCTAACAAACCTTCTATGTCTAAGTCTTCAAATTTCGCACCATTTTTAGTCACAATAGCAAACTTAACTGGTTCGATGTTCCAAACTTTGCTGAATGAAGACTTTTCAAAATGGTAGAAGTAAACATTCAAATATGTGAATGGGTCTAGTTCTTCTTTAAGTCCTGACATGTACTTGTTTACTGAGATGAATTTTGCCATCTTTTTCTATCGGATAAAAAAAAATATTTTTTTTAAAATTTACTCATAAAAATTTTTCTTTGTATATACACCATTCTGTACGTCTAAAAGACTTTTGACATTTGCCAAGAATGTTCGTTTAGACGCTGTCATATAACCATATTCTTGACAATATTGTTTATACGAATCGTACAATGACCTTTCATCTAAACACTCAAAGTCAGTTTCATCTATGAACAGTTCATATACACTCTTGTTTGCTTCTAACAATGTTTGTCTCTCTTCGGTATGTGGAATTTGTCTTGGATTGAACTTTGAAATATCTAATGTCATAAAGTATGAGAACAAGTGGTTGTAAAAGTCAGATGTCAAAGTTTTCTGCTAAGTCGTCAAAATATTCTGTATCTTGCATATGAGAATCTGACGTTCTGACAACTACATATCTTCTGTCAGAACTTTCTAACTTCATCGGAACAGCATTGTTTGAAACCATAATGAAGTTTGCAACATTTTCACAAACTCTTTGGTCTTTATATTTTCTTTCAACAACTCCAACTTTGTCTGTTATAAGACTCTTCAAAGCATCTGAGTTCAAAACTTTTGTTGTATCTATACTTTGAAGTTCATTGCAAACTATAAGTTTCATATTCTCTATTGAGGAGTTAAACTTGCCACAGATGTTTTCTAAGTTTGTCATATTCGGGTTCGAATAACCTTCTAACAGTTTGCACAAAAATCTGTAAAGAAAGTATTCTTACCAGTTCCTTGTTTTCCAATTATAATGAGAGCAGTTTCATTTTTAGCACTTGGATGTTGTAAGATGTTTGCAAACCAACATAAGATATACTCATAGACTCTTTCGTTTCCATTGCATATAATTTCTTTTGACATGGTCTAACCAAGCTTCTATAATATTTTCTTTCCATTCTACTTGTTCGTATTTATATCCAGTGAAGATAGAATAGAAGTTTGGAGAAGGTGTATAGAACTTTATACCTCGAACTGAAAAATCTTCTAACTTTGACAATAAGATATCCCAAGCATCTAACATCTTCATGCCAACTTGTACAACTTTTATTTTCTTAAGTTTCTGTCTACATTCTTGTTCTGAAACTATTGTCGCTTTAGGTTTGTTAAAGACTACATCCCATTCTTTCATAACATAACATTCTGGGGCAGAGTCAACATAAATGACTAAACGTTTCAAATTCTCGACTGCTTTGTTATAGTCTCTAAATGGACACATATTTCTGAATGCTTGGAAGTCATAAAAATCTGAAACATCTATTCTGTACATTTTTATAAGAATAAAAAAAATATTTTTTTATTCTTGACTTTGTTGTTGCATTTGTTGCATTTGTTGTTCTTGAGCTATTTGTTGTTGAAGTTGTTCTTGTAATACAATACTTTCACCAGTTGCATCTTCCAATTCGAAACTTTCTGCCGTCATTGACAAATACATAGGACATAAAAGTTTTACAGGAACAAAGTTTGCGTCAACTAATGTCAACGTTATACTTGCCAAAGTGTTTGAGTTCACTAAGGTTGAAAATTCTGCATTCGAATGAACAATAGGCAAACCAGCAGAGAATGTGTTATTTATACGCATAAGTATCTTTTGGTCATAATAGTTTCTGTCGACATTCGAATAACACTTTGAACCTAAGTTTGAAACAATATATAAAATAGGTGTACTTAAAGTCAACGGAACAGACAAACCTTGTATGACACCTTTTCCTGTTATAGGAAACTGTTGGTAGTAAAAACCAGATATAAGTTTTGTATTATAGCTCATATTGTTTATAGTAAACTCAGTCGGACATCCAAACATAATGAAACCTGCTCTAGTTGCAGCACATGTTACACCCGTCCTTAAAGTATTAAATAAGTCAACAAAACCTGTTGGTGGTATATCTGAGTAAGTATCTTCAAAGGAGTATTTTTTACCATTCACAACAATAAAGTCTTCTGGTGTCAAAAGAGCAAAACAGGCTTTAGTCGTCATTGTGTTTAAGGTTAGTTTACAATACCGTCCTTGAGGACTTTGTAAGTTTGTTGTTATAGAATTATATGACCCAGGGTTTTTAGTCGTAATAGTATAAACCATTATATCTTCTGCCATTTATATATATTTAAAAGTTTTTCTGAAAGTGGAGAAGAACTTCATCTAAACTTTCACATGGCGTTTCTTGAAGTTCTCTGTCTAAGAAGTTCAAATATTTTGTAAAGACATAGAACTTTCCTTTGTCTACACGAACAAACAAAACAGGGTCTTTCATATCGTTCAAAAGTGTGTAAAGTCCTTTACATGAAATAAAGTCTATATTATTTTTCTTCAAACATCTTTCAAGAAGTTTTGACATTTTTACTTAGCAAATAAATTTTAATGAAATGTTGTGGTCGTCAAATATTTTTATAACGTCTGGGAAACTATACTTTAAGTTCAACGTTTCACCTCCTTTCATAACGTATATCTTGTCAATGACATTATATGAAACACCACAGCAACTAATGTCGGGTTCTATTTCTTTGATGTTTATATCGTCTGCCTCTGTCAAAAGTTTCAATAGTTCTTTCAAAACTTCATGAGGTGCAATGACATATGAGTTCACTTTTACAGGGTTGTGTTCGACCAAGTTTAACATTATACTTAAAGCTTGACAAATCTTCTCCTGAGTTTGAAGTTTGTCTTTCAGTTGTTGGTAGTCGTTTCGAATATCTGCAACAGAACTTAAGTCTCTGCTAACTTCAGGATATGTTGGTTGTTCTTTTACAGGAACAATTGCTATACCATCTTCGTCTTCGTATGGTTTCCCCACTTCAACATCTCTGTCTTTGACATTGACAATAACACTTTGACTGTTTGTTTGAGTTGGTGAATTTAACTTCACATCTGCCACCGCCATTAAACCTTTTGAAACACTCACGCTTCTATTTTTCGGAAATGACATTTTACTTAGAATAAAAAGATGGACGTATTCGAGTATCTCTTCGAATTGAAGCAAAACAAGGTTTATACTCACAAACAATACAAATACATTGACAGAATAGTTCTTTATACAAACAATGGTAAATGTTATAGAATAGCAGTCTTTGCTGAACCTAAATATTTTCATAAAGCAAAGAAAGTTGGTATAACTGAAATGGTGAAAGTTCTTGAAGCAGACAAAAATATAACAACAAAACTTACAGATATTTCTAAAGGTAAGTTTATCTTACAATATTATGTCAAAACTGGTGTCATAACTATTTACGATGGTGAGAAAAGTGTCAAAGAACAACTTACTGACCTGCTGCCAAAATCTGCTCGATGGAAGCTGTCGTTATGCCAATCTGAGGAGCCCCAGCAGGTTTCATCGAACGAATCTTCAAAAGAGCATCTTCCGTGAAAAGTGCTATTGGTTTTGTAAACTTCTTTGCTCTCAGTTCATCTGGACCGTCTCTGTCACCAGTATATTGTATTTGTACAGTACCAACAGTTGAAATACCACCCATAAAGTCTTCTGAGTCAGCAAATGGAATGCCAAGCCAAAAGTTTGAACGGTCTCCATTTGTATATTGAGTTTTTTGACCTCCTGTATGAGTCCATACTTTCACATATGGCATAATAGAACTTTGCATTTCAGGGTTAATGGTTGTTGTGAAGTTGTTGTTAAAGTTCATAGCATCTAATGTCAAGTTGTATGACCTCATATCCTCAACTGTAGAATATTCTTCTCTTGGATAATATTTGCCATCTATGTTTATATGATATTTAATACCGGGGTTGTAGAAACAAGAATAGTCATTTATAGTTCGTCTGAACAGTACAAACATAGTATCTGCATGTTTCATTGCAGTTGTTAAAGCAATATCTGTTCTTGCACCTGGGTCAGCACTTTGGTTTCCAACTTCACCTGCAAAGTCTTTGACAGATATTTGGTGTATAGGGAACATAAGTGGAACTGCAATATATTTGGCAGCTAAAGCATTTGAAATATCTGGGTCCAACATATAGACTGCAAGTCTGCTTTCTATTCTCTTGCATTCAAACTTTTCGCATGTAAACTTAACTGGGTCCCAAGCAGTTCCAGCAGCATTGAAATAATAGTTTACTTCATTGTTGAAGTTTGAGAAACCAAAGTCTAAGTCAACTTTGTCTTTGCAAAATTCGGCGAATGACGTTTGATTTGTTCCCTTTACGTCTGTAATAGTGAATGGGTCTTGTGTTGGTGCAATGACTAAGTTATTTTTGCTTGGAGTAAGTTCAATAGAAATTTTTCCTGCCCAGTTTGGCAAGTATCTTAAAAACCTGAAGATGAGGAAAGATGACAAAGGAACTCTAAGTTTCAGTTTTACTTTGGTTACTGCTGCTGCAGTTTGTCCAGAAAGGTTAACATAAACTCCTGGAACGTTAGGGTCAAGTCTTCTTATTTTCTCAATATTTGCATACTGGTCTGTTTGTTCTCTAGCTTGTGGTTGTACTGAGTTTCTCAAAGCGAACCATTCATAGTTTGCCCATGTTACTGTTTGAACTAAGTCAGAGTTAGAATATATCTTATATCCCATGAAAACTTCTGGAGCATATTGGTATCCGACATAGAAAATTCCATTGCAACCTTTCTTGTCAGACAACTTGGCAGAAGGTTTTATTTCAATGTCTTGTTCCACGTATAAGAATGAGTTGTCAATAGAAATAATATGAAACCTGTCGCAAGCAATATCTACTGTTGTTGAAGAACCTTCTCCAAACTCACCTACGTTTCCATAAGAAACAGCAGTTGTATATTCGTAAGTTCCAGGAACTATTTCTGACCTTCTAATGGCATTGTCGCATTCGTTATACCATTCGGAAACATTTCCGTTCATGGCATCCAAAACTGTTGGCGTTATATTCTGAGCGGCGTACATTTCATATGGGTAAAAATATAGAATAGTTGAATTTATGTGTCATAATAGAACCCACTCGTACCAAGCTTTACTTTCTTCCTGACTGAGTTTTTAACTCTTCTTTTTCCTTCATTGCCACTACTTTCACTAGATGAAGTTACTTCTTCACTACTTTCACTTTGTTCTACTCTTCTCTTCTTCTTTGGTGTCGCTTTTGGTAACTTGCCCTCTGCTTCAAGTTGTTGCATCTTTGCCTCATGTTCACCTAGTATGTTGTAAATTTCCCATGTCCTTTTTGCCTTTGGGCTCTGGTCGCCCATCTCAGGTAACCTATATCCTAGAAAGATTTTGTCATAGTTTGTATTTGAGTCTTCGCGTATTGTTTGCATGACTCTTTCCTGAGTTTCCGGTTCAAGCTCTTCAAACAGAGCTTGTCCATATGGAATAAGCTCGTTTCCAAATATATGTTTTTGTAGCCATTCTGGTTTTCTTTCCATGTTACCAATAATATCTTTTGTGAATGGGAAAGCTTTTACCCAATGTTTCAGTCTTGCGTCATTTATTTCTGTAGTTGGTTTTATTTTGTCAAGGAACATGTTTTTCAATACTAACATTTCATTTGGTACTGTCCATTTGAGTTTTCTTAAATATTCATCCCTTCTCAGTTCATTGTCTGCAAAGTAAGTTTTTATGACATTTTGTAAACTTTCGTTTGCAAGGTCATGTACAATAGGTTCTCTTCCTTCTATCTCCCTAACTTTCTTTCTAAACTCTTCACCAAATATACCATCTCTATGGTTCTGTGTAGTTCTTTGAGATAAATGTTCTAGAACGTCAGGTGTTATATTTCCATCAGCCATGTTCATTTCATACTGGTCCAAAATATCTGCATGTTTCATATCTTTCAATGGCATTAAAGCCGCGCCGAAAATACCAGCTATATCTGGTTCACCATTCACTTCCATTGCGTCTACAACTTCTTGGAATTGTGGTTGTAAGTTTATGAACCACCTATCCGGATTAGCTTTATGACCCCATCTCATTGTAGTTCCATAGTCTGCAGAAACAAAAGTAGGTTTGTTTCCATATTGGTTAGGTTCTGAATGAACTTTAAACAATGTTTCATTTCTATATGTTTTGGTGAAATTAAACCTTTTATTTTCACCGAGTTCAGCAAAAGATTGAACGTTATATGGTCGTAAGTAAAAAGGATTGTTGTATTTGCGTACATTTTCTTTCAGTGCTTCCATTCTATGCTGAATATTTTCATCTGATGTTGGAGTCTTTTGTATGTCGGCGAACATTTTTCGATATTCTTCTACTATGTCAGCTGAATTTTTCTTAGACTCTTGGAAAGATTCCATATTCTCCGCATACTCTTGTTGAGGGTCAAGATTTTTCGGCTGTTCCAAATCTTCATCTAGTTCTGTGAAGTTAGTTTCCAAAGGAGGGACTTGTTCGTTTCCTTCAGGCTCTTCTAGCTGTTGTTGCTGAAATATTTCTTCCATGTCTGGTTGTATCTGAACTTCTTCCTGTGGAGTTTCTTGTACCTCATCTGCTGGCATTTCATATATTCCGAGACCGTTTTTAACAAGTTCCCTATTTAAGCCATCCGCATTCATAACCCTTTCTTCTTTCGTTCCGTCTCTATTTTTTACGCGTTTCATGAAGATAGTTGAATTATCATTTATCTCTGACACCAAATATCTCGGAGTAAATTCATCCATGTCATTTGGATGATATGCTATTAAATCATATCCCTTAGCGAGCTTGTATTTTCCAGGTTTGAAATTATATCCCATTTGGTGCTGAACCATAAAGCTAAATAGGTTCGGGTCAGTATTTCCTTCCTTGAACTTTCTAATAGCTTCTTTATATCTGTCACTAAAGTCAAGAGTATCTGGGTAACCATAATTTTCCTTAAGCATTTTTAAGAATTCTTGGTTTCCTTGTTCTCTACTTCTTTTATGTCCTTGCTCTGTTTGTGGTTGTGGTGCTGGATTTTGAACTGTTGGTTGTGGTGCTGGATTTTGAACTGTTGGTTGTGGTGCAGTGTTTTGAACTGTTGGTTGTGGTGCAGTGTTTTGAACTGTTGGTTGTGGTGCAGTGTTTTGAACTGTTGGTTTTGGTGCATGCCTGTGTCTGTGTCCATGTGACGATGTAAATGTTTTAGGTAGTCCTGGTGCAGGTGCTTCTCTTGGAGGGTTTGGTGGTATATAAGTTCCACCAGCTGGCACATATGTTCCATCTGCAGCATAATGTCCTACCTGACTTTTCGTTTTTAAGAAAGCATTTACTAGGTCTGTTTTGGTCTGTTGTAACTCTTTTTCTTGACTTTCCACAACAGTTGCTCTAACGGCGTCATAGGCACTTTGAACTGCCTGTCTCGTTGCTGCATCTGTTATTTTCGTCATATTTTGTGCTACTTCTCTTAACTCGTTGTCGAAACCTTCAGACTTCAGTTTCTTTCCAGATGAGAAGTCGTTCAATAGTTTCACCTTACTATGAAGAGCTTCGAAGGCGTTCTTAAAGTCAGCATTCATTAAAGCTTCATTTGAACTGTCTTCATCCGCTTGTATTTTTGTCCTTATTGACCCTATAAGTTGGGCTGCTTTGGCGTTGGCTTGGGCATCTAACCAGTCATTATTAGCTTTTATATATTCTGCGCTTTTCATTGCCTTTTGCATGGCTGCGTCGTTATTTTTACTTTCTTGTGCTAAGTTTTCATACTGTACGGTTTGGTTTTGCAACTGTAAAAGTTTTTCTGCCTTTATATTTGCTTCAACTTCTTTTTTATACTCATCGCTATCCATATATGTCTTCAGGGCTTTTTGTTTTATCTCTTCATCTTTCAGTACTTTATATTGAGTAGTATGGTTTTTCAAATTTATAACATCTTGTTCCATTTTTGCTACTTCTGCTGCTTTTTCTGACACTTTTTTCGCATATTCCTCTGTACTTAGTTCTTTCAGTTGTTCTTCTTTCTTCTTTTTCTCTACGTTTAACTCATTGAGTTTCTTTGTGTGTCTGTCATATTCTAGTTTCTTTTCGTTTTCACTTATTTGTTTCTGTATGTCTATGTTTGACTTTTTGACATCTGTTATTTGATTTTTGAGTGAACTCAAATTCATTTGACTTTGAGGGTTATAAGCTGTTCCGTCTGCAGCTCCACCATAGCCTGCCATTTTCGCTAAAAGTGCCGCTCTTAAACCTCCACTCTGTGCACCAATAACTCGGTTTAAAAGCATAGGGTTGCTTGACATTTGTTGCAACATAGTGGGGTCATTCATCATTTGTTGTTGCAACTGTTGTTGTGGTGTCAGTTTTACTATTGGATGTTTCAATGCTCCCTTCCTCTTACGTATATTCTTACGTAGCTTACGTGGCATTTTAAGTGAAGTAAAAAACGGTTTTTGACAGATGTTTATATGACACTTTTTGTTCAGCACAAAAAACTACTCGGTCAAAGTGTTGTCAGTTTTGTAAAATAACCGTCCTATCTCATTCTATAAGGGAGAAAAGGCTTCTCAAAGTATACTTCCGTGGAACGCCTGTAACTTTTCCTGTAGCGACGATAGACCCTTACTTGTCCGGACAAAGTTATACTAAACATCTTCAGGGCTAGAGGGCACGAAGTGCCTGGAGGCCCCACTACCTTTTTTTTTTTTTTTTTTAACAGTAAGAATAATTAATCCGATTATCAAATTTGAAAAGTAAATCAAATGTAAAATCATTTTTATTGAAGAAATTATGAAAACAGATATTAAGTATGCAAATTAAGAGGAAATGATATAATTCTTTTCAAAAAAATTGTGAAGATCGTTAGATTGATTTAAGATCCTTCTCAAATAAATTGATAGAATAGAAAATGTTACATTCAACAAAAAATTTAAATAAATTTGATGCGGAATAAATATATTATTTAATCTCAATTTCTGAAAAAAAACATGAGGGTGTATTTAAAGAACGCAAAAGTTTATTTAATAAATTTTCATCAACAAATTCAATTGACCAGGCCAATTTAACAAATTCTATCATATACAATATGTAATTCATTTTAATAACAATTTTCAAATTTCAAAATTTCAATAGTTTATTTTCTTTCATATATTGAAAAAAACAATGTTGTGCAAAATGTGGATTAACGATTCTTCAAATGGTTATAAATAATTAACAAAAATGTTGGATTTATATACACAACTACTTGTATTTTTTTTTTCATAATCTAAATATCTATGGTGAACTAAGAGAAGCCAAAACTTAACATCGCCTAGAATAACTATTTATATTTAATTATAAATTTATATTTTCTCATATTATTTTTTATATTTACTAAAGGTGACCAAACTATTTTTTGAAAGTCCGCCATAACTTTAATGGTACTATTTCAGCGTGTACAATAAATACAAAAATTCTAAGAGTGCCACATAAAATAGTACTTTAGACTTGAGTTAATGCTACCAAGCAAATGTTAAAAAGATGACTTTAGTGTTTTGATAATCAAAGATTAAAATCATTATTGTCTAAATCAATAATCATAACGACAGAAGTTAATGTTTTTTCATAAGTGCTTTAAATCCACTTTTAAAAGTATACCTCAAAAATCAAAATATCAAAAAAAATTGGCCGATAGGTTTGGCTTTAATTTTTGTCTGCTTTTATGATTTGATATGGATGTTATAATTTTAAAAGTTGAGCCAAATTCACCAATAGATTTTTGAGATTTGCAAATACTCAATAATTTTCAGCGTGTTATCTTTTATTAAAAGAACTATTTGGTTTCAGTATCATATAAATTGATATTTACTTTCTATTTGAACCTTCATTTAGCTAATGATTAATAATACAGATTATCTAGTCCTTATAAGAGAATTTGAATTTGTTATAATAAAAAACAAACAGATATAGCTTACACTTCTATATAATAAGATACCTTTTATAGAAATCAGTATGAAATGTGTTTTGGCTTATTGGAAGCATATCAGACATAATCGCCATAATCAAAAAATCTATATACCCAATAAGTAATAATTTGTCGATATAGATTTTCCATAAAATTAGTTTTTAGTCTGATCTTAAAATAAATTTAATTTTTTATAAAAAAAATCACATTTAAAAGTACCTTTTTAGTAGCTCGAAATCCTGTTGGTGGATTTCGGGCGTACTTCAAAATTAGCTTTTCTTCTACATATGCAAGCTATATTTTAAATATGGAGCAAATCGGATCGGCGAAAGGAGTTTAGTTACCTTTTATTTACTAATAATTTTTATATTTCATATTTTATATTTATAAAAATTTGATTCAATTAGAAGATCTAATATTTTAAATAGCGTTTTTTTTTATTGATTTTTTTTTAAAAAATATAATTTAAATGATCATATTTTTATATCAATCTGCTGAATCATTGTTTATTTTGAAAGATTTTTTAATTGTTTAAAACATTTTAATGAAGGAATGGTATTTCTTTATTTTCTTCTCATCGATAAATTGAGGTTGATTTATATACACCTAGCTAGGTAGCTATTTTATAATTCAAGCAACATTAAGGGTGCACACGAGAGGATCATGTAAACTTCAGAATTTAGAACCTTATTTTTAGGCATTATCTTGGCTACCTATTTAGGCTCGAAAAGCAAAAAATATCAAAAAATACAACTTGACTCCATTCTGACCCTTTCATGGAGGTAGTTTTTATCCGCTAGTATTTTCCCTTTGAATCTCTTTACAATTCGAAATCAAATTCAAACCTCAGTAGAAGAAAGGAAGAATCGACTTACTACGGTTGTAATACGAATAAATACATATATTTAATTATTTTTATTTACATAATAATTGTTTGAAGCTCATATTCCATCAAATTTTTAAATAAAAACATTAAAATTTTGAAAATGTTCATATATTTTAATAGGGTTTTGGCACTTTATTGAGGAATTACTACATACATAGTCGAACTGAACTTGATATTTTGAAATTTAAATTATTTATCAAAATTAAAATTTAACTTGAAATTTATAATTATTTAGTCATATTTTGCATAATTCTAAGTAGATTTTGTAAAAAATCAAGAAAGAAAAATTTTAACGTGCTTTATTTTTTCTTTTTTATAATAATACATATTATTATATAATTAACATATTCATAATGTTTCACCCTTTCAAAAATATAATCCTCCTCCTCTCAAATAGACGTACATACGGGTGGCCTCTTTTTTCAAAAAATTAAAAGAGAGAGGGTCAAAGTTGCTATTTGTCACTTTTCCACAAGAATATAATGGGGAAAAAGTTATCATATAGTTGATCTCATTCACCTAGGTGAGAGATGCATATAGTGTAATGGGATAAAGAGTGAGATTGCTGCTCTAAGTCCTAGGTTCGAGACACATTGGCTTCATTTTTCTCATTTTTATTGACGTAAAGTATTCAATTTTTGTGTTCTCCATTCAAATTTCAGAATTTTTTTTGCAGATTTCACGCTACATTCGAAGTTACCTTTTGTAACAACCACCACTGCCTACGAAAGACGAAAGTGTGTCACGATTTCACCCGGAAATCCGATGGTTGTTTAAGAGTATGCACTTTTGTCACCTACTCAAAATTAAAATTTGAAATTTTGGGCTCAAATATTAGAGATTTTTTCAACCTTCAACGATATATGTTGTCTATATCAGACCTCCTTTCTTTTTGATACTTAACATTGTTCCTAAATCTTAGCCGTTAAGGCTGTTCTGAAAATATTTTTTTTTCGAAAAAATTCGAAAAAAATTCTTAAAATTCAAAAATCCCTTAATTCCTGAGGATTAGGGTTGTTAGATTCCCGACGATAGGTGTCTTGGAAGATTTGCCTGGTGTCATCATAGTGTCTTTAAATCAAAAATTTTATTTTGGAGTTAGTTTTATTGATTTTTCAATAAAAAACATTTCTAAAACAAGAAAATAAAACGAGAAAATATTTATATTTTATATAAGGATCTTATATATTTAAAATAAATATCATTTTATTTTTTTCATTGGTGTCTGTCAAACCATAATACACTATTCAAAAATTCAATGTGTCTTGCGGTTTCAAAAGACACCTTCAAATTGAACGATAGCACAGACACTATTGAATTTTACCCATTGTATTTAGTTTTTACCCTTTTTATTTTTAAGAATTAATGACTGAAACAGCCGTTTTGCTATGACCTCAATCACTTTTATTTATTATTTTAAATATTATTTAATTTTATTATTTGAATAGGCCAACTTATATTTGAGAAGCTCAATTTGAGACCACTTAATACATTGAAATATCATAAATATTGAAATATTAAAAAGTGTATTTCAAAATATTGAAATTATAAAAATTTATAATACTGAAATTGAGACAAATTAATAAATTCAATGTGTTTTTTTTGAAATAACTCTCAAATATTATTTTTTGTTTATTTAATGATGAATAAATATGATTGTTTTAGTCAATCATAAAAACTAATTTAAGTTTAAAATAATGAAAGGATAATTTGATCGTTTTTTAAAATACAATTATTTTTGATGATTTGCAAGAATCTTTGAAAAGAATATAATATAGGTTCTATTTTTGTAAAATTTATCCAAATCATGTATTACATAAATTACGATTAAAACGATGAAAGAACCAAAAAGTGTGTTTTGTGTTTTGTTGTTGCGTGTTGGATGCGGGATCCTGTTATTTCCGAAATCGACAAAAAATTTGGAAATTTAATTTCCGAAATCGAAATTATATTAATGTTTTTAATATTCTTATATCAAAAGGATTAAAGTTCATTAAGAGAAAAACAATTCTTCTTCTTCAATCTATTGGCGCATTTATTTCTACACGCCAATAAGGAAGGGAAAATTATAAGACACCATGGTGTCTTCAAAACGCTAATTTTTGATATTTTTAACAACCCTACTGAGGATTTTGGAAAAAAGTTTTTACATGAACATGTGTATATTATATGAAGTATATTGATAAGGTAAAAATCAAATTTTATTGCATATTCATCGAGAAAATAAACTAACGAATCCCTCAAAATTGAGAGGGTAATCCTCCTCCTCTCAAATAAACGTACATACGGGTGCACCCTTAAACGTTCATAAATATATTTCGTGAAAACCATCTATATGACTGTTATCCATTAATGAATTATATATCTCTATTGCTTTCATTGTGAAATTGAAGATTCACCATATTCGTTCATCGAAGTGATTAAAATCTTAACCCCGTTGAAAATTGTGTAGTTTACAAATCGCAAAAACATATTTGGATAAGTAAATGATTGCTCTATTATGTTTGAACAAGAAAAATTCAACTTCCATGTCAATTACCCAAGAGTGGTTTTTGTTGTTGTCACTTTTTAATAATTTATGAAATCAGATAGAGTTTTTTCTTTCAAAAAATTCTTTAAAGGAATCGAATTAATTTTTGAATTCTATTTTAATATTACGAATCATATGACAAGTCTGTAATCTCTCGTTTTTTTGAAAATGGCGGTTTATCACAAAAATTTAATTTTTATTTTGTAAACTTTATAAAACCAATATTTTGAATTTTAACGAAAATTTACATATTGCTTCTACTTTTCATTTTTCGTAACATCTCAAATTTCTTTTTTTTATATTTTTGAGAATTTTCTGATATTTCCAACCGAAATTATTTTATATTTAATATTCATAGTTATTCAGTTACTTATTATCATTCAATTTATTCTAAAAAGATTATCAACATGGTCTTTAATTCCTTTCAATTTAAAATTAAAATTTGGTCAACATACTTATGACAATGACAGCAACTATTTTTCCCGATTTTACTTTACAAATCAAAACTTCCATTCAATTTATAAAAAATGTTTTGCGTGAGTCATACTCGCTTAAGTAACTGCGTTATTAATATTCCCAGCAAAATTGGAAAGTACGAAGTAGTTAAAATCATTGGTAAAGGTGGGTTCGCTGTGGTTGTTTTGGCCAAAGATCAAAAAACTAATAAACAAGTTGCAATTAAAATTGTTAGCCGAGAAGAATTAATGAAGCAGAACATAATGGTTTACTTTGAAAACGAACTTCGACTTAGTTCCAGGTTTAATCATCCATCAATTGTTTCAGTTTACGAGGTTATTTACGAAAAGGATGCAATTATGATTGTTATGGAATATCTTTCAAATGGCGACATGCATTCAATTTTATCAAAGGGTATAAAGTTTAATTATGAAGAACAAATAAAAGTCGCCTCTCAAATGTTAGAAGGCTTACGATATTTGCATCAGAGGGGAATATGCCATAGAGATATTAAAACAGAAAACATACTATTTGATGAGAACATGAATGCAAAACTAATAGATTTTGGTCTTTCGAAAGAAAATTCATCTGCTTTACATACTTATTGCGGAACTCCATTTTATATGGCTCCAGAAGTCATCTTATTTGATACATATGACGGGAAAAAAGCCGATATTTGGGCATTTGGCGTGGTCATGCACATCATTGCAACTGGACATTTTCCATGGGCGCAAAAATCAGAAGTGCAACTTATCAAAGAACTAAAATCTATGTCATTAGACTTGTACATTGAACCCGCTGGGACAATAGGAAATGTTATAAAAAATTCATTGGTATTTGATTACAACGAAAGAGCTTCAGCTGATGATTTGTTACAAATCATAACCAAGGATATCAATCATAAAGCTGGAATGTCCAAGATATCATATCAAGCAAAAAAGAATTATGATGCTATCCTTCCAAAGTTGACGATTAGAAATTCAACATCATCGTTCGCAAAGATTAGACGTTACAATGAAAACATTACGCTCAAATATTGATTTGACATGATTTATCAAAGTCGATTCTTATTTGCTATTAATTTCACGGTTTTGTTTGTTATTTTTATTGTTTTACATAACTTTATATGAGATGGATAAAATGCACACATTTGCACACATTTTGACACTTTTTCTGACAAGCATCATTCAAATTTGAAGAAAAACCTCTAAATTTCATTCAAATTTCTGTCAAAATGTGTGCAAAATTGAAATAGGCACACATTTTGACATACGATTATTTATATACGTTATTTTAATGGTTTCAGAGAAATCTTCGTTACACATTATTGAAGATTACTCAATATTTAAGTGAATGACTCACTACCACCTGTTTAGAAAAATGGTAGCATAAAATCCAAATGTCACATATATTATTTCTTATTTCATACAAATAAACTTACAATTATAACCTCAACTTGTTTGCAAAGCAGAAACTCAATATAAGCAATCGATCAGTAGTGTATTTAAAAGTCGAATTTAAATTTAAAAATTTATAATCTTATTTCGGAACCAAATAGTATAAATTTAGGACAAAAAGCTACGTGGTGTTGATAACAACTATTAAAATTCAAATATTACTACCATGAACAATACAATGGCTCATATTGATAATTGATAAACGTGCATATAAATTGCATATATCATCAATGTCATTAAGTAAAATACATGTATATAAATAGATTAGAAATATTTTTCGGTTAGAATTAAAATCTATGTAATAAAAATAAGTTATAAAAATAAATACCGAATTTTTATTTGTAATATAAACTGCTACAATATGCTAGTGTATACAAATGTATTTGTCGTATTGATTTGAAAGATCTTCAACATGGTTCAGATCTAAATTTGAAACTCGTAAAATAAAGCGAATCTTTATTTATAATATAAACTGCTACAATATGCTAGTGTGTACAAATGTATTTGTCGTATTGATTTGAAAGATCTTCAACATGGTTCAGATCTAAATTTGAAACTCGTAAAATAAAGCGAATCTTTATTTATAATATAAACTGCTACAATATGCTAGTGTGTACAAATGTATTTGTCGTATTGATTTGAAAGATCTTCAACATGGTTCAGATCTAAATTTGAAACTCGTAAAATAAAGCGAATCTTTATTTATAATATAAACTGCTACAATATGCTAGTGTGTACAAATGTGTTTGTACAAATGTATAACTCTTTGTCAATTGTTATGGCACCTTATAACTTAAAAATCATTTTCATTAACAAATATAAAAGTGACAATTAATATTTTCATTAAATGCATATTTAATTATCAAAACAATGTCGATTTAGCTTGAATGTTCATTATAAATGTGTAAGTTTAGGAAAACAAAAAATAATTAATTCTCGCAAAGAAACTTATTTTAAAAGAACCTAAACAAAAGTTCATATAATAATAAATCTAAAAATAGATATTAATTTAAACGAGGATAATGAGAGAATGGGGATGTTGTAAAACAATGAGACTTAATGATCAAATAATTAAAATAATAAAATTAATTAAAGGAAAGCTAAAATAGTTTAATGAATTTTTATAGATTGATTACACAATCAATGTTTCTGTGTCAATGTACATCAATCAACATTGTTTCATTGAATTTTGTCTTTCACCAAGAAGATTCAAGAACAAAGTTTTGTAGTTTCAATAGATTGATTACACAATCAATGTTTCTGTGTCAATGTACATCAATCAACATTGTTTCATTGAATTTTGTCTTTCACCAAGAAGATTCAAGAACAAAGTTTTGTAGTTTCAATAGATTGATTACACAATCAATGTTTCTGTGTCAATGTACATCAATCAACATTGTTTCATTGAATTTTGTCTTTCACCAAGAAGATTCAAGAACAAAGTTTTGTAGTTTCAATAGATTGATTACACAATCAATGTTTCTGTGTCAATGTACATCAATTAACATTGTTTCATTGAATTTTGTCTTTCACCAAGAAGATTCAAGAACAAAGTTTTGTAGTTTCAATAGATTGATTACACAATCAATGTTTCTGTGTCAATGTACATCAATCAACATCGCTATCTGCTTTAAAAATCCCTTCTGCTAATACTTCTGTGTATTTTTTACCATTGCTATCTGTCCTTATTGCAATCATTTGACCTTTTATATCACTTCTTCTAAATTCTCTTACTTGTTTTAATAAGCAATTAAGTTCATATCCATATTCTTCGATTGAATCCATGTTCAGTATTTTCATAGCAGTATCAATGTCATTTCTGGCTGAAAACAATGCAATTTGTGAAATATCCATATCATATCCACATTTTATTAAATCCTCCAAATTTGATAGTTTAGTTGAAGAAATTATTGGATTGTCAAATAGTTTAGAGGCTTTTTTGACTCTTTTATTTCAATTGTCATATCTGAATAATGTTTAACATAATTAAACAATTGTATCTTCTTTGAATCTTTTTGTAATATAAAAGTCTTTAGTTTAAGATGAAATACTTTGGAAGCATATAGATATAATGATAGACAATGTATTTTTTGAGGAGTATTGACTTTTTTTAATTTTATTTCCATATTTGAGCGTGATAACCATATCAAAAATGAATAACCTTAATTTATAAATCTGAATTTGATTTTAATAATAAAAATAATATATATATATGTAATTCATGAGTTATATTTTTACACTTCATTTTACCTGAACAAATATAGCTGATATCAAATAACAATTTAATATAGAAATTGAAATTGTTATATATGCAATGTAAATACACATAATACATATATTATAATTTATCAATGATTATTGTCTAGACCAAAATTTGTAGATGGAATTATGCAATTTCTCAATTTAAAGTCCCAGCTGTTTGTATAACAACTTCATATTGAAATTTACTAATAAACACGGTAAGTTTCATAATTTTTATTATTATGATCTTACATTTGATTAAAATCGACGATTTTTCAATTGGAAAATAGTGCAAAGTAATAAAGAATATATTTAGCAAATTTTAAATTTTTTTCAAAAATTTTATGAAATAGAAGGACTAGCAAAGATTTAAAGGAAATTTGAATAAACTCATAGAATTTTTGAAAGAAGAAGGGAGATTTGAGAGGATTTTTGGTCAGAAAAATATAGAATTAAATGAATAATTGGGTATGATAAGATAAGTGAAGGTAAAAGATAATTTTAGTAAACGAAAACGTGTAAAGTTGAAGCAAGGTAATATTTTAATCATTTAAAAAAGAAAAAGAGGAAAACTTGTTCTTGAATCTTCTTGGTGAAAGACAAAATTCAATGAAACAATGTTGATTGATGTACATTGACACAGAAACATTGATTGTGTAATCAATCTATTGAAACTACAAAACTTTGTTCTTGAATCTTCTTGGTGAAAGACAAAATTCAATGAAACAATGTTGATTGATGTACATTGACACAGAAACATTGATTGTGTAATCAATCTATTGAAACTACAAAACTTTGTTCTTGAATCTTCTTGGTGAAAGACAAAATTCAATGAAACAATGTTGATTGATGTACATTGACACAGAAACATTGATTGTGTAATCAATCTATTGAAACTACAAAACTTTGTTCTTGAATCTTCTTGGTGAAAGACAAAATTCAATGAAACAATGTTGATTGATGTACATTGACACAGAAACATTGATTGTGTAATCAATCTATTGAAACTACAAAACTTTGTTCTTGAATCTTCTTGGTGAAAGACAAAATTCAATGAAACAATGTTGATTGATGTACATTGACACAGAAACATTGATTGTGTAATCAATCTATAAAAATTCATTAAACTATTTTAGCTTTCCTTTAATTAATTTTATTATTTTAATTATTTGATCATTAAGTCTCATTGTTTTACAACATCCCCATTCTCTCATTATCTTCGTTTAAATTAATATCTATTTTTAGATTTATTATTATATGAACTTTTGTTTAGGTTCTTTTAAAATAAGTTTCTTTGCGAGAATTAATTATTTTTTGTTTTCCTAAACTTACACATTTATAATGAACATTCAAGCTAAATCGACATTGTTTTGATAATTAAATATGCATTTAATGAAAATATTAATTGTCACTTTTTATATTTGTTAATGAAAATGATTTTTAAGTTATAAGGTGCCATAACAATTGACAAAGAGTTATACATTTGTACAAACACATTTGTACACACTAGCATATTGTAGCAGTTTATATTATAAATAAAGATTCGCTTTATTTTACGAGTTTCAAATTTAGATCTGAACCATGTTGAAGATCTTTCAAATCAATACGACAAATACATTTGTACACACTAGCATATTGTAGCAGTTTATATTATAAATAAAGATTCGCTTTATTTTACGAGTTTCAAATTTAGATCTGAACCATGTTGAAGATCTTTCAAATCAATACGACAAATACATTTGTACACACTAGCATATTGTAGCAGTTTATATTATAAATAAAGATTCGCTTTATTTTACGAGTTTCAAATTTAGATCTGAACCATGTTGAAGATCTTTCAAATCAATACGACAAATACATTTGTATACACTAGCATATTGTAGCAGTTTATATTACAAATAAAAATTCGGTATTTATTTTTATAACTTATTTTTTATTACATAGATTTTAATTCTAACCGAAAAATATTTCTAATCTATTTATATACATGTATTTTACTTAATGACATTGATGATATATGCAATTTATATGCACGTTTATCAATTATCAATATGAGCCATTGTATTGTTCATGGTAGTAATATTTGAATTTTAATAGTTGTTATCAACACCACGTAGCTTTTTGTCCTAAATTTATACTATTTGGTTCCGAAATAAGATTATAAATTTTTAAATTTAAATTCGACTTTTAAATACACTACTGATCGATTGCTTATATTGAGTTTCTGCTTTGCAAACAAGTTGAGGTTATAATTGTAAGTTTATTTGTATGAAATAAGAAATAATATATGTGACATTTGGATTTTATGCTACCATTTTTCTAAACAGGTGGTAGTGAGTCATTCACTTAAATATTGAGTAATCTTCAATAATGTGTAACGAAGATTTCTCTGAAACCATTAAAATAACGTATATAAATAATCGTATGTCAAAATGTGTGCCTATTTCAATTTTGCACACATTTTGACAGAAATTTGAATGAAATTTAGAGGTTTTTCTTCAAATTTGAATGATGCTTGTCAGAAAAAGTGTCAAAATGTGTGCAAATGTGTGCTATGTTTTTTTCTCCTTTATATTATTTATTAAATATAGTTTGTTGAGAAAAATCATTTTTATTATCATTATTTTTTTTTTCATACATCGTGATAGCTCTCCACGGGATATATAGTAGTGTTTATGAAAATATATTTAATCTTATAATCCTGAGGGCATAATAATATACTGATAAATCTAATTTGGCCAGACCTTATTGATAAGGATAAAAAAGAAATATATAAATAAATTTAAATTTACATGATTAAAATACAATATCATGGTAAAAGGCCTAATATAATCTTTTTCTAACAATTAATTTCATCTTATTCGTCATTCGGTCATTGAGCAGTTTAGGAGTTGACTTTACTGGAACTTGGGCTCTTGCAATAAGAATAGGAAGTGATGACTGCTTAGCTGTGCTTCTTTTTGAGGAAATCTCAGAATGGCTGATGCCTTTACTTTCCACCTGAGCGGTTTGGAGATATAAAAATAAGTCATCAGCAGACATTCTTTCTTTTGGATCAAACTTAAGGCATTTTTCAACCAATGTTCCAATTATTCCTCTTGACTGAATGTTAAGTGAAAGCTTGTTATGAAGGATATCCTTGATAAACTGAGATTCACTTTTCCATTCAAATGGAAAACAACCAGTCGATAGTAGGTGTAAAGTAACCCCGAAGGCCCAAATATCCGCTTTTCTTCCATCATACTCGGAATTTTTAACAATTTCTGGAGCGATGTACCATAAAGTTCCGCAGTATGTTGAAAGGACATCCGCATTTTCTTTTGCCAATCCAAAATCAATAAGTTTTGGATTGAATGAATCATCGAAAAGAATATTACCAGGTTTAATATCTTTGTGGCATATTCCTCTCTTATGCAAATAAGCAAGGGCATCTAATATTTTATAAGAGATTCTCACACATTCGTCAAATGAAAGATGAATCCCTTGAGATATCAATGATTGTAAGTAACCATTATGGAAATATTCCATAACAATCATGATAATGTCTTCTTCATAAATAATGTCAAAAACTTTGACGATTGATGGATGATCGAATCTTGAACATAAACGGAGTTCGTTCTCTAAATATATCATGTTGTTTTGACGTTGGATCTCTTGTCGACTAACAATCTTGATTGCAACGAACTGGTTTGTTTTTGTATCAACTGCTTGTACAACTACAGCGAAGCCACCCTTACCTATCTGTCTGAGGATCTTATATCTTCCAACCGAAGATGGGATCCTGATATGATTAGAAACATTAGACATTTTGAATTTTGAGAAAAATTGTTTTGAGAAGTCCTTTGAAATGTACCCTGCTAAATAAAAAAAATTTAGTATTTTATAGTAGAGAAAAATGTGCATATATACTACTTGATTTTGCACTTATCTATTTAAAAATTGAATTTAATCAGTAAGTTGGAAAGATCAGAAATCTCAATATATCATCTAAGTTGAATAAAAAAAATCATTTTACAATTTTTTTCTCAAAATTTTGATTACAATTCAAATTTCATACATATTAAATATTTGAACAATTTATTTGTACAAAATTCAAGAAGAAGATTTTTTTGGTTTTTGTCTTATTGGAAGTAATTGCAACACAAATAAATGTAATGTTTTTGGTCGGCTAAAAAAAGATTTTTTGAAATTAGTTTAAAATTAAATATCTATCCATTAGCATAAAATATTATTTATCGAGAATCCATGATTATTTTTTGAAAGTGAAGTAAATATCTTTTCAATACAAATAGAATTAATCATTCTGAAATTAATTTCCAATTATTTTCATATCAGCATATCAAATACAACCATATTACTAGCAAGAAAAAATAACGTGTCTCATACAAAAAATAAATATTCAAAATTTAATTATCTTACAAAACTCATACATATACGATATCTTGACCCACTATTTCAACCAATTTTAATACTACAATTTTGAATTATATTTTAAATTTCTTTAATATTACTTCCTTCCAATATCACTTATTATTATTCATCCGATTTTCGATATTTCTCTCAAATTTATTAATTAATATATTGATTAAATTACTTTAATATTATTCTAATCATGCATTTAAAGCGAATTAAAAAATCAATTTTTTATTATTTTTCAAGCATCTTCTCAAATTAATTTCAATACAATGTATCTAATCAAATTATTTTTATTGCTTGATACAATGTTTCCATTAATATGACTCCCTCTCTAACAATATTAATCAAAAAAATTCAATTCTATCAACAGAATTCACTCAATCAACAACAGATATTTGAAATATGACAACTTCATCGTTTCATATAGCACATACATTAGATGGCAAATCATACTATATGAATAAAAATACTCTCCTTCTCAAAATCATACAATTTATTTTAACATTCATGATTTTCAATTTAAAATCCATTAATCTATATACTTATATCCTGTTTTACATCCACAGTATTTGACAAATATTGATATATCACACTGAATTTAACATACAATCTTGACGATTAAATTTTATTCAATTCAATTTTATTATAATCAAAATACCATTTATTATCAACTAATTAAAATTTATAAGTTTTAACAATATCGGAAACTGCAAAAAAGTGACTCTCAACTTTTGAATTGATCATTCATTTAATAATAGCACCGGCCTTATTTTAATGATATATTTTAAAACAAATCCATCCAAAAGCTAATAATAATATATTTTTGCAAATTCTTATATCTTACATTTAACGCAAATTTTAACTTTACGACAATATTTTTTGAATCAAAGAGTTACAACATTGATTATAAGATATATAAGTCATACATATACAATTTACATGATTAAAATTAACAAATAATTAAAACAAACTTAAAATAATCTTTTTCTTACCAATATTTTCATCTTATTAGTCAATCTATCATTGAGAAGCTTAGGAGTAGACTTTAGTGGAACTGGAACCTTAGCAGCAAGGCGAGGAAGTGATGATTGCTTAGAAGCGTTTCTTCTTGCTGAAAACTCTGCAATACTGATTCCTCTCTTATCAATTTGAACAGTCTGTAAGTATAAAAACAAATCTTCTGAAGACATTCTTTCTTTTGGATCAATTTTCAATGCGTTTTCAATTATTGTACCAAGAATACCCTTTGGTTCAATGTATAACTCAAGTTTGCTCTGAAGAATATCTTGTACAAACTGTGATTCGCATTTCAAGTCAAAAGGAAGTGTTCCTATTACTAACAAATGCAATGTTACTCCGAAAGCCCAAACATCTGCTTTTCGTCCGTCATACTCGGCATCTTTAACTATTTCAGGAGCAATATACCATGCTGTTCCGCAATATGTTGATAAGGCATCTGAATTTTCTTTTGCTAAGCCAAAATCAACAAGTTTAGGATTATATGCATCATCGAATAGGATATTCTCTGGTTTAATGTCTCTATGACTAATTCCTCTCTTATGCAAGTAAGTTAAACCTTCCAAAATTTGATAAGAGATTCGGATACATTCTTCGAAAGAAAGGCGTATTCCATGAGAAATTAGAGACTGAAGATCTCCGTTTTGGAAATATTCCATAACAATCATGATAATGTCTTCTTCATAAATAATGTCAAAAACTTTGACGATTGATGGATGATCGAATCTTGAACATAAACGGAGTTCGTTCTCTAAATATATCATGTTGTTTTGACGTTGGATCTCTTGTCGACTAACAATCTTGATTGCAACGAACTGGTTTGTTTTTGTATCAACTGCTTGTACAACTACAGCGAAGCCACCCTTACCTATCTGTCTGAGGATCTTATATCTTCCAACCGAAGATGGGATCCTAATATGATAAGATACTTCGCTCATTTGAACTAAAAAAATTTGAAATAGTCAAATTTAAAAAATAATGGTCTAAGATTTTTTCAATATTTTATTATAGTGGAAGAAGTTATGAATCATGCGTAGATACGGTTATTTTTTAAAATACTCTTTTAAAAATTGAATATATTTTTCGTTAACCAGTCATCATTATTCACACAATATTTTGGCGCTTTTATGTTATATATTATATGTGTTTAACTATTGTATCAATTGTAATCTTATCACAAAATATTCATTAACTTTACTTTTGTTATTTTGCATATTCGAGTGAACCATGCATATTATTCCAATACTCTTTTTGGCCGGCTACAAATAGAAAATCGTGAAATTATATTAAAAAGATATCTTTTCGTTTTCTAATCTCATTTCATGAATATTATATTTCTGAAATTATTTTTTCAAAGCCTTGTAAATTGGTCTCAATTTTAATTGATTTTAAAATATGGAATATAATTTTAACCAAATTCGTAGTTAGTGATACTTTTTACACATATTTTATCTTATTTCAAGTTACACCGTACTTCATTCAATTCATTGATATTCAAAAATCCGCTAACATTAAAACTCTTTAAAAAGACACATTTAATCTAATTTAGGAATCCTCTTTTCCCTAAATTGAAACTTTTGTATTCAACAAAATTGTCAAATTCTCAAACGTAGGTATTTTTTAAACATTATTACTCCGATTTTTTGATTTTTCTGTTAAAACCGCTTTATCACAAAAAATAACTTAACTTTCTTCATTAATTATTAATATCGTAGGAAGCTAGTCAAATGAATAACAATTAAAATTATCAATTTTTTGATAAACTCTTTTTTTAACAGAAAACAAAAAAATTCACACAAAATATGTCATTCAATGTTATTTTTAGTCTGCAATTCGAATTACTGCTGACATACATATCATAATGCAGATTCATCAAATATTTCGGAATTCTTAGAACATATTCTTCATCAAAAAAAATGCTTCATCAAATCCATGAGAATCTTGATATATGTATCTGATTCATGCTAACATTTATCTTCGTCAGTTTAAAAACTTCTCATCTTTTACAAATTTCATCGGAATTTTACTTGTTGGTAAGCGTTTACACATATTTGTATAGCTTTGGTAGTCATCCATTTTTGTGCAAATTTAATTTCAGCAATTTTTTAAAAGAATTTTAACCGCAAAAAGTGACTATTAATGGCTGAGCTTTCACCAATTTCTCAAGAATTACTTCTCAAAGAAATTTGCTATATTAACAAAACAACGTTAAAATCTGATAAAACTAAAGTTCACATTGGTAATTTATTACTTTTTGCGCCAAAATTAATTAATATTGAACAGATTGATCAAGAACCATTAACAATAGAGTCTGGGTATGATTTTTCTTTATATAAAATTCTATTTGACATTTGTAATTATAATAAAGTCAATTTAAATGAATCAGAATTTTTATCTTTCTATAAATTCATCAATATAAATAAATTTTCCAATGCATTATTAAATTATGTAGATAATTCAGTTATATCCCAGCACAATACGGCACAAATCCTTAAAATTCTAGAAATCAAGTTCAAATTCGACAAAAATCCAATTAAATTTATAAATTATCTGAGTAGAAACACAAAAGATATTAGAGTAGATGATATTCTTGGTTTCAATTTCGATCTATTATGCTATTTCTTTGAAAATTTAAATTTTGATTTCAATTTTATTGAACAATTTGTTCTAAAATCAAAAATAAAGGTGTTTAACTTCCATATTACTGATATTGACGAAGAAAAGAAAGCAAAATTAGTGAAATTGTTTGATTTCAGTCCAATTATCAAAAAACAAAACAAAAAATCTCAAAAAACAAAGAAAATCATCAAAAAACTTGAGAAACCAGTTGATTACACGCCTGATTTATTTGATGCTGTTTACAGAGGATCATTGGATTGTGTTCTTTATAATCTTCAAGAAGATCCAAAGAGAATAAACGAGAAAGATTCAAAAGGAGACAATTTTCTTTGTTGTGCAGCAAAATATGGACATTTAGAAATCGTGAAAACTCTCATTGAAAAAGGTATTGATAAGAACAGTCAGAATGTGAATGGACAGACAGCGTTGAGCTACAGTTCGAGTGGTGTTGATGTAGAAATTGAGGAATACATGCTTCAGAAAGGTTGTGATCCAAAAATTTGTGGAAATAATGGATGGACTCCTCTTCATGATGCAGCAATGTTAAGTACTTATAAAATGGTTCAAACTCTGCTTAAATATGGAGCAAATCCTAACGCAGTTGATGAAGAAGGTAGGAAACCTGTTGATGTTGCAATTGAAGATGATATAATTGAACTTTTGCAAAATGTTACAAATTGAGGTATTCATAAGAATTGAAATCAATATATTCATCATAAATAAGTACTCTTCTTCATGATGCAGCAAGTTAATCATCATTATTTAACAAATGATATCAAGATATTTCATAAGTTGCTAAAATTTTTTTTCTCCCTCAGAATTTTTAACAAGATAAAAATTTTTTTCAAATAAAAGATATAAAACTTTTTAATAAAATTAACAATACAAATTACTCCTTTGAGCTCATAAGAAGATTCAAAGTGTTTCCAGGATCTTCTTTGTTACAATAAGAAACAAAATAAGTGAGCTTGTTTCCTTTTCCTTTGAGATAAATTTCTCCTCTTTCTTCAATATTGAATTCTAAGTTTTCAATCATCTTCTTTGTTTCCTCAGATATTTGAACATTTCCAGGGATATCTGTTGATTGTAATCTCGCTGCAACATTGATTGTATCACCAATGATGTCGAATGTTGGTTTATCAGTGCCTAAAACACCTCCAATCAGTGGTCCTCCGCTGTTGACACCAATTCTTATCTCAAGGGAAGAATCAAGTTTAGAGTTGATTTCTTCCATTGATTTCTGGCAATTTAAGCAACATCTTGCTGCATCTTCTGCGTGATTTATCTCCTTTCCTTCTTCTTGGAATAAACCACTCGCCGCCATATAAACATGAGATATAAAAATTGCTCACATTTGCTCACATTTTGGCACTTTTTTGTACGTTTGTCAAAAAAATTGTGAGGAAGATCTCACAAAAATAGTCAAAATGTGAGCAAATTTTGAGAAGTGCTCACATTTTGACATACGATTATTTTCATACGTTTTTTTGATGAATTCTAATAAAACTTCATTACCACTTTCAGAACGAAGCGTAACTTTTCAGCACGTAACGCTCTATCATGTGTAGTGACATATTATTCAAAAAAACTCAGATTGCTTATCTTATAATAACAATTTCATTAGAAAAAATGGAAAAAACCAGAATTTTCGAAAAAGTGACACCAACTATTAAAGTTATTTTATTACTAGATTTATTTACAAATTATAAGATAATATCATTAACAAAATATATTTTTAATATAAATAAAAAAACTTTTTTATAAAAAAATTACAATCAATCGATAAATATTATAAAACATTTATTCCAAAAAATTAAGTAATAGGTGGGATCCTGCATATAATATATTTTATGTCATAAAGCTTACAAATTTTAGATGGACCACAGTGAGAATGTGAGTGGTTAATTTAAAGGTGGTCTGATAAAGATATCGAAGCTTACTCAACACAGTATGAAGCAGTTTCTAATACACAATCTTACTAGTGGTGTTTCGGTCGCCAGCGCTCTCATAGGGGTGCTGATTTCAAAAACCACTACTTCAAATTATTCAACAATACTCAATGCAGCATGAAGCAGCTACTACTGCTGTATCTTACTGGTAGCGTTTTGGTCGTTGGCTCTTGCACAGTCTCTCAGATTTTCAAAAATTTTTTTTCAACACTATCTTGTTTCGCTCTCAGAAAGCTATCCTACAAAGACATCGAAGCTTACTCAACACAGTATGAAGCAGTTTCTAATACACAATCTTACTAGTGGTGTTTTCGGTCGCCAGCGCTCTCATAGGGGTGCTGATTTCAAAAACCACTACTTCAAATTATTCAACAATACTCAATGCAGCATGAAGCAGCTACTACTGCTGTATCTTACTGGTAGCGTTTTGGTCGTTGGCTCTTGCACAGTCTCTCAGATTTTCAAAAATTTTTTTTCAACACTATCTTGTTTCGCTTTCAGAAAGCTATCCTACAAAGACATCGAAGCTTACTCAACACAGTATGAAGCAGTTTCTAATACACAATCTTACTAGTGGTGTTTCGGTCGCCAGCGCTCTCAGGGGTGCTGATTTCAAAAACCACTACTTCAAATTATTCAACAATACTCAATGCAGCATGAAGCAGCTACTACTGCTGTATCTTACTGGTAGCGTTTTGGTCGTTGGCTCTTGCACAGTCTCTCAGATTTTCAAAAATTTTTTTTCAACACTATCTTGTTTCGCTCTCAGAAAGCTATCCTACAAAGACATCGAAGCTTACTCAACACAGTATGAAGCAGTTTCTAATACACAATCTTACTAGTGGTGTTTCGGTCGCCAGCGCTCTCATAGGGGTGCTGATTTCAAAAACCACTACTTCAAATTATTCAACAATACTCAATGCAGCATGAAGCAGCTACTACTGCTGTATCTTACTGGTAGCGTTTTGGTCGTTGGCTCTTGCACAGTCTCTCAGATTTTCAAAAATTTTTTTTCAACACTATCTTGTTTCGCTCTCAGAAAGCTATCCTACAAAGACATCGAAGCTTACTCAACACAGTATGAAGCAGTTTCTAATACACAATCTTACTAGTGGTGTTTCGGTCGCCAGCGCTCTCATAGGGGTGCTGATTTCAAAAACCACTACTTCAAATTATTCAACAATACTCAATGCAGCATGAAGCAGCTACTACTGCTGTATCTTACTGGTAGCGTTTTGGTCGTTGGCTCTTGCACAGTCTCTCAGATTTTCAAAAATTTTTTTTCAACACTATCTTGTTTCGCTCTCAGAAAGCTATCCTACAAAGACATCGAAGCTTACTCAACACAGTATGAAGCAGTTTCTAATACACAATCTTACTAGTGGTGTTTCGGTCGCCAGCGCTCTCATAGGGGTGCTGATTTCAAAAACCACTACTTCAAATTATTCAACAATACTCAATGCAGCATGAAGCAGCTACTACTGCTGTATCTTACTGGTAGCGTTTTGGTCGTTGGCTCTTGCACAGTCTCTCAGATTTTCAAAAATTTTTTTTCAACACTATCTTGTTTCGCTCTCAGAAAGCTATCCTACAAAGACATCGAAGCTTACTCAACACAGTATGAAGCAGTTTCTAATACACAATCTTACTAGTGGTGTTTCGGTCGCCAGCGCTCTCATAGGGGTGCTGATTTCAAAAACCACTACTTCAAATTATTCAACAATACTCAATGCAGCATGAAGCAGCTACTACTGCTGTATCTTACTGGTAGCGTTTTGGTCGTTGGCTCTTGCACAGTCTCTCAGATTTTCAAAAATTTTTTTTCAACACTATCTTGTTTCGCTCTCAGAAAGCTATCCTACAAAGACATCGAAGCTTACTCAACACAGTATGAAGCAGTTTCTAATACACAATCTTACTAGTGGTGTTTCGGTCGCCAGCGCTCTCATAGGGTGCTGATTTCAAAAACCACTACTTCAAATTATTCAACAATACTCAATGCAGCATGAAGCAGCTACTACTGCTGTATCTTACTGGTAGCGTTTTGGTCGTTGGCTCTTGCACAGTCTCTCAGATTTTCAAAAATTTTTTTTCAACACTATCTTGTTTCGCTCTCAGAAAGCTATCCTACAAAGACATCGAAGCTTACTCAACACAGTATGAAGCAGTTTCTAATACACAATCTTACTAGTGGTGTTTCGGTCGCCAGCGCTCTCATAGGGGTGCTGATTTCAAAAACCACTACTTCAAATTATTCAACAATACTCAATGCAGCATGAAGCAGCTACTACTGCTGTATCTTACTGGTAGCGTTTTGGTCGTTGGCTCTTGCACAGTCTCTCAGATTTTCAAAAATTTTTTTTCAACACTATCTTGTTTCGCTCTCAGAAAGCTATCCTACAAAGACATCGAAGCTTACTCAACACAGTATGAAGCAGTTTCTAATACACAATCTTACTAGTGGTGTTTCGGTCGCCAGCGCTCTCATAGGGGTGCTGATTTCAAAAACCACTACTTCAAATTATTCAACAATACTCAATGCATCATGAAGCAGTTTCCAATTCAACAATACTCAACACAGCATGAAGCAGTTTCTAATAAATATATACATATATAAATATATACATATATAAATATATACATATATAAATATATACATATATAAATATATACATATATAAATATATACATATATAAATATATACATATATAAATATATACATATATAAATATATACATATATAAATATATACATATATACATATATAAATATATACATATATAAATATATACATATATAAATATACATATATATATAAATATATAAATAACAAAATATAATCAAAAAATAGTGTTTGGAAATTTAAGGTTAAGTGTCACTTTTTCGTAAATTCTACCACACTCCGCTCTATCATGTGTAGTGACATATTATTCAAAAAAACTCAGATTGCTTATCTTATAATAACAATTTCATTAGAAAAAATGCACGATTTCACGCTAAAACTTTGAAGCAATTCTTAAATTCGGATAAAAAATCGATATGTATTACACTTTAAACTTCAAAAAATGGTTCAAAATTTAGACTTAGTTTATCTTAACAATATAGCAGATTTTAAGCCGAACAAGTAGGAGTAATAGAAATAGCTCTTGAAAATAATTACAATTAGTAATATGTAAGTCAAAGTTCGAGTATTCTAATAAATAAACGTTCCGGATTTTCTTTACTACAAGAATCAATACTTAATATATAGAAGCAACAGTAAAACTTATTAGAGATTCAAAAAGAAAGTTGACTAAAGAGAATCTTTTTATATAAGTAATTTTATTTTTTTGAAATACGAGATCGAATAAACATGTATTTTATTTTATTACTATAATAATACGTTTTTACATAGTAAGAAAGTTTAGAGACTGAAATGAAATTAAAAATTGAGAAAAAAATAAAGCTTTTCTATAAAAATTCATATTAATATATAGTATAATGATATTACAATTTATTGATAGTTGTGTTAGAAAAAAGGTACATTCACTATTTTTGACAAAATTTTAAATTTTCATGGGGTTGTAAATCTTATAATAACTAGATGAATAAGGAATAAATCCCAGTATGATGTGCATCATTATATTAAACACTATATGTAAGGCTGGTGATTCTATTAACACTTATGAAGATCTATAGTATTTGAGCAGATAAATTTGATAATTTCCAAAACTCTTATATTTCAAAATTAAAGTGTGCGAATGCATTTAAATGAGAGCAAAAAGAGATTGATGCTGTTAAAACTATGTGTTAATTTGCAATTATTTCGCATCACAAGAACTACCCAGTAAATTCGGCTATCTTTCTTTGCAATTATTCTCCATTATACATATAATATAATGGTTAGGGTTTGAAGAAAAGTTACTAGAGAATTATTGACTTTTGAAATAATGCAGAATTTTACTTGAAGAAATCATTAATTTATGAGTTCCAAATTGCTAAGCATGACGAAGGATCATTAAATTTGCTACAATTAAATACACTTATTGCAGAATTAAGATTTTTGAAATTAAAAGTTTGAAATATTGCCTTTTTGAATAAAAATTTAAATTTTATTATATAAGCATGATAATATCTTATAGAAATAAAAGAAAATATTTTAAACCATTCAAATATTTTGAATGTCTTATCAATTTAAAATATTAAAAGATAGCTTGATTTTATCATCATTAGTTGTTATCAAAGTTTTCTTCTTTTGATGAACAACAGTAAATGATTTGTTAATTACTTGTCTTCCTTTTTCGCAGCAAAATCGAAAGTTATGATGATAATCTTGCTCTCAATTTTGAAACTCTCTGATTTACAAGTAAGCATTCCTTTGGAAAAGCAGTCCTA